AATAATAGCCGCGTAAAGCAAATACGATAATACGATTGTAGAGTCATTGGGCCAACTGGAAAGGCACCCACTGCATCTATATATGGGGAAAGAAAAGATATTATTTATGGCCTCATTGTTGGTCACTATCACGTTTTGCACACAAGTAAAATCGGATATTTGCTGTTCGCTTGTAATAGAACTGGGAAATGTTAGTTCTCTTGAACTCTAGTTACGACACCACTGAAATTAGCTTGGCTAAAATCAGCTGGAACATATTTTAACGAATCTAATACGGGTGTTGTGCCGACCCAGCCCTAGCAAACAAAGAATGCAGGTGAAGGAGGAAACTGCGCAAAAGTAAACCATCGAATGTCGAAAGTTGTGGTTCTTTTGGTTCTACTGGTGCTACACACACCCCGAAAATAGCAGCCAGTTAGATCTAATTAAGTGCTATAAACTACGAGTCAAGTCAATCCGGCAATTGCCACGCCCACTTACACTAGTGTTGCGGTGCTGTCCACGCTACCCGCCGTCGAGGAGCCGGCTACGTCATCGGAGCTTTGGCTGCCAACCGCCGGCTGTTGCTCCTGGCTGCTGTCCAGGCTGCTCGATCCCCCTCCTCCTGGCAGGCTAGAGCTGGAGGTGGTGACTGTCCCGGTGACTGATCCCGTGCCCGTTCCCGCACTCTGCGCCGGACTCGTTGTGGTGGTGGCTGTGGTGCGCGTGTCGAACGTCATGGTGGTGGTGGTGGATCCGTTCAGCCAAGTTGCCCTGTGGAGCGCCGGAGGCAGGAGTTTAGTATTTTTGGTGTCTGGTTAATCCTACTGCAATTTGCACTGGGCGGCGTTTTTGGTTTGTGTCCTATGGCAGTTGTGCGGTACCCGGAGTGCTTCTGGTCCAGTTTGTTGGGAGTTTCCCTGCTTTTCGTTCTTTTTTGTTTTTGAGGCACTGTTGGTCGGCGACTCCTGGCTTTTGGGCTCCCTCTTATTGTCCTTTTTCCCAATAAGAACTTGCGTCCTGCGTTGCGTTTACATATTCCTGGTCAGCAGCCACAATTTGCAAAAATCTATAAACTGCAACGAAGTTAAAGAGACAGAAAAAGGCGGATAAATAAAGGGGCTAAAAGAGAAACCAACAAGGCACACATACATGTACCGCGGGGACGGGGACTTTAAATGTGTGAGTAGGCCTGCGTGTGTGAGAGAGCGCTGGGTTGGAATATGAAAAATCAATATTATTTAATAGACGGGGCAGCAAGCGCCAAATAATGCTCCAAAAGCACACAAATTACTCTCCACACACACACACATCCACACTCTTTTAGCGGCCCAAGAAAGTGTGTGTGTAAATTTAATTTAATGTTGTTTTTGTTTTACGCTGCGCTCTTTATTCTTATTTATTTATTGTTATTTTTTGGGCAAACAAAGAACATTTTTCTGCCGAAAATTACATCACGTACGGATTTTTCACTCCCTCTATCTCTCTCTCTCCGCCCGGCAACATCCTTAAGCGGAATGTCGGTCGGTGGGTGGAGCAAGTGGGTGGGCAAATAGCCAGGGACGGGGGCGGCGGGTGGTCGCAGGGTGGTGAAAATAACTACGCATAAAGACTTTAAGCTGCAGCTTCGAAAATATGCAAGAACTAGCTATTTTGAGGGTGTGGCGGGGGCGGGGACTCTCCCACTTTCTTTCTTTTACTTTAGGAGTTTCGCGAGAGTAACGGAAGTCACTCAAGGACGGCAGAAAGTGCGGCTTTTCATATTTTTTCCGTTTTTCACTTGCCACTCTCACACACACTCACTCACTCACACGCACGAACATGTATTATTTGCAAATTGAATTGGACGAATGAAGAGTATTTTGCAGCGCAGACCCAAAAAGACGATCGGTTTCCTTTAAGCTTTTCCTTTTGCAGATTAGTGAGCCGCAAACTTAAGAACTCACTCTAAACTAGTCGCGGTAACTATTTCGCAAATATTGAGCTTACAAATCAGCCGGCCAATAGACAAAATGGCGTCTGCCTTTGCTGTTGTTCTACGACCGATCTAATTCCGATTCCTGGTAGCTTTTTACCTGCCTGGCCGACGGCAAGGTCCTGCGTGTCCAGCGGGGGCGACGGGGCGGCAGCCACGGCTTGCTTTTATCCGCTCGGCGTTTAATTCGCGTTATATTAATGATATTTTAGTTATTTCTTTTGCTAGGGTTGTGCAGTTGAGCGAACTAAATGTTAACGGAACCGGTTCATCGGGTGCTTTTGGACCAGTTCCGCAGAGAACTGAAAAATCGATAGTTATCGGTCGTGCCATAGAGTGTTATCGATTTATTGATACCGAGTGTGATCTTGGATATAGTTCGGAGCATGTTCATAGCTGGATTGAATTTGATGTTTTGAATTTGGGCGGACAAATGGGATTTGAATATATAATAATAGTATAATATCAAACAAAACTCCTCTTAACGAGGTAAAAAAGTTGGGACGATCGCACCGATGAATGAAAAAGCATTCGTCTAAATAAATACACCTTCTTAATGATCCCATACGGACCTCTTCATCAAGATATTTTGCCTACACAGGCATTTTTAACTCAGCGTGTTGCCGAATGGGAACATTTAGTCGATGGTAACATGGGTAAAAAAAAAAACTTTTACTCATGCTTCACTACTAATTTCGTTTTACCAAACTACTAATAAGAAAGGAAGCATTCTTCGGCAAGTCCCAAATTCGGACTAAATATATAAATATATACCCTTGCAACTATTCCAAATATTAAAAATTTTTTAAAACTAAAATATTTAGATTTTTATTTTTACAAGCAGCTTTACAAGCAACCGGCTCGTTTCAACATCTAATAATTTTAAAACTGACGGGCTAGTTTGCGTAGAAACGAGTGGTCAAACGATCGGCCATAGCTAGATCGAACCTCTTAATGATGCTGTTAGGGTCGGGAATGTGTCCTTCTGACTAAAATTAAAATACCATACCAGGATATAAAATTTAATGAGAAAGTTATCTGGCCCTATAGAACATTAAAATTTTAACTCCGTTGTTTTTAAGATATTTGCTTATATCTTGCTCATTTTTTTGCAGAGTATCTGATTTCAAATAAGTTTGCTTAAATAAAGATTTGTTTTAGATTTTAAAACAATTATAATTCGTTTCTTACGGTCGTACTGTTAGACAGCTGGGCTTGCTGACCAATGGATAGGGGATATTTTGTCGGCAACATTGTATTATTGGAGTACATTTTGCTAAGTTTTTTGGGGTTTTCCGTCCATTTTTTTATCCGGCAAATACTATGATCTGCCAACTCCAACGTCAAAAGATTAAATCGGAGTTTCACATTTGTTGAAAATTCCAACCGTTTCCAACGGATGGACTGTATGGAAAGAGGGCATAACAGTGGGGCAGCCTCTGAATCAGCCCATATAAATTATCAGTGGAAACAACAAGCTCACAAAAATGGTAGTTCAGCCGTTTCCTAACATTTATGTTTGGGAACGACGAATATTGGGCAGCGCTACAGCGGAGGGAGAGCAGAGTAGAGATGGGAAAACAGCGATGTTGTCCCGCAAAACATCGATGACATCGATGTTGGCATCGATGTATATCCACCTCTAAATGGTACTCGAATAAAAATGTACGACGCGTTGGAACGCTGTCCTGGAGCTTATTGTGGACGATCTCCGCTGGGAAATGACACCTGGAGCAGCTGTGGAGTCTGTCCCCGAGGATCCCGGGTGCGTGTCCCTCTGGCCAGTGCTAGTGCCGGGCTCTAATTAATTGCAAAAACATCCACCCACAGGTGAACCAGAGCTATGTGTGTTCGCCTTGCCGCGACGAATTAACCACGTACTCCTGGCTTTACCTGGGATTTATGACTCTCCTGCCACTTATGATGCACTGCTTCTTTATTGACATGGACGCCAAGGATCGCAAGTGAGCGGGAATAGCTTATACCCATTAAAACAGGAGCTAATTGAGTGTCTTTACACAGATTTTCCCGCAAGCAGTTAATCCTGACGGCCAGTGCTTTTGTTGAGGTGGCTCTGTCCGCCATCCTGGCCACCTTGTTCATGGAGCCCATGTGGGAGCTGCGGCTGTACGCCTGCGATGTCCGGAAACTCACCGACTGGTACACCCTGTTCTACAACCCCAGTCCCAACTACGAGGCACGGGTGTACTGCACCCAGGAGGCAGTCTATCCACTGTATGGCATTTAGTAAAGGTGATCTAGATCAAACTTACGTATATCCTGCTCCCCTAGGCAAACCATCGTGTTGGTGTTTTACTTTCTTTGCCTCGTCAACATGTTTCTTATTCGCCCGCTGGTCAGCAAACTAATGGATGTGGGGGGCAGAAGCAAGGCGCCCATTTATTCCGCCCTCTACTTCCTGCCCCTGCTAACCTTTATCCATGCCCTGGGATGTGGGTTGATCTGTGAGTATGGCATTACAATGATCTATTGAATTTAATCCACTGCTCCCCTTTTCAGATTACTCCTTTCCCTACCTGAGTGTGGCCATTTCCATGGTGGCCAATGCCATTCACTATTCCCTTAAATTGGACCAAACCCTGAAGGCTCTGGTTTACTCCTCTATGTGGGAGCTAAAAAATGTGGTTATTATAGCTGTTCACTGGATGCTTCTGGCGTATGGCATAACGTCCCTGAACTACCACTATGCCTTCATGTGTCTAGTACCCTTCCCCACACTCTTCTACATCCTGACCGTGCGCTTCACGGATCCGGGCGAGTTCCGGGAGCTTGAGTCGAGAATTTGATGCGGCGACGTCCAGATGCAAATCTTCGATGCCCGGGGCACCCGTCGATCAACTGTTGTTATCTATGTGTAGTGTTTGCGTCGCTTAATTTATTTACATTTAGTGCGTAGCTTAATTAAGACCTGTTCCGATTTTCACTAATTTCTTCTCTTACTTTGCTGGAAAATCACTTAAATATCATTGGTAATAGAGATTACTTTGGTTATTATCTAAAGGATAAATCAGCAGACCAGTATCTCTAGTGTACTTGTATCGTATTTGTAGCCTTAATCCATTTATCGTTCTTTTCGTTTTAATTATATTTCACATTAATTATACACATATAGTAATATTAAATACAAATGATCAGTTTCCCATCTCTAAAATAGTTTTTACACAATACATATTGCTACATATTGAATTTGGATGACGCACTTCGTTCACGTTCAGATCCTTCGTTTCACACGCCGCTTTTACTGGGCGGTCGTGCTTCAGAATGTGAATTTCGGGCGCATCGTAGTCGTCTTTGTCGTCATCGTCATCGTTATAATATTCCCACAACGCAAGCCGTAGAAAAGAACAGAAGTCAAGGGACAAGTGCAGCGGATGAGGAGCGGAGTATAAACAAAATCAATACCAGCCAAGAGAATAGAAAATGTGATTACCGCAAGTACGTTATGTTTATGGTTTTTGAGGGATGAGGGATTTCGCTGCTGTTATATGGAGTGAAGTGGAGTCTTCTATTCCGCTGGCGTGCCTTCGTTCGCGAACCTGTTGCGCTCCTCCAGAAACTTCAAGCGACGCTTCCTCAGCTCGCCCAGCTCCGAGGAGTTCTCCTCGAAGTCGGCATCAGAGTTGGGCAGACTCGCCGCCTCCGTGACCGTAGATGGCACGTCGTCTTCGTCCGCGCCCAGATCCTCAATGGTTACCTTCTCTGCAGGCAGTGGAGGGACTCCAGCCGTGGGGGTCACCTGGTGAGCTTCCAGCTGGGCCATGGCCGAGGCCGAGGTACTGGGCTTGTCGTACACGACGGATCCTGCAGCTGCTCCTTCTACAAGGCTTGGAGCTGCGGCAGATGCTGGCGGCGGCACTGCGGTGAGTTGCAGGCGGGAGGCCAAAGTCTGGTACTGGGACATCATCACCCCTGCCGAATCCAGCATGAGGTTTATGTTTTGCAGCAACTGAAAGGGTAACTTTAGTTAGTCATTGCTGGTCAAGCCGAATTCCAAATTGAACTCCCACCCTTAAACGCTGCTCAATGTGCTCCCGCTGGTGTCCTTCCATGGCGCGCAGCTCCTCGTCGGTGAACTTGGTCAGGTCCAGCGGAATAGTTGGTGGCGGCGAGAAGTAGCCAAACTGCGGCGGCATCATAAAAGGCGACAGCATGGGCATGACCGGCGGTGGAGACACCGAAAGTCCAGCTAGATTGGGCAAGCCGGCTGAAACGTGGTTTGGACAATTAGCAACTCCTTTTACTGAAATTTCAATAGAAACTCACTGGCATCGCCGAAGAGATCTGCAAAGCTAGGCGGCATAGCTTGAACTCCGGCTAGCGGGCCGTTGGCACCAGCCTGGTTGACATCGATTCCGGCAGCTGGAGTCGGAGCAGGCACCCCTCCTGCGGGTTGAGCACCGGCTGCAGCCGGAGCGGCATTCCCAGCAGCAGCAGCGGCGGCGGCCTCATCGCCTGCGCGCGGCATCGCCGTTGAATTCACGGCAGGGGTACGCAGTATGTTCAGACGGCAGGTGGGACAGGTCTGCTGGCGCTGGAACCAAGAGCGCAGGCACGTGGTGTGGAAGATGTGGCCGCAGGGCAATTTCTTTGAGTGGTTGATCATGTCCTCGCGGCAAATTATGCAGATGTTGTCCGACTGGCGCAGTTCCTCGGGCGTGGCGTCTGGATACAGGGTGTTCATGTTGCGGATGGCCCGCCTAGACATGATCACGTCGTTCAGCGCCTTGCGGAAGTTCCGAATGGTGAAGAACATGGGCCGGAACACGAACATGGGCAGCGCGTAGATCTTTGCCATAATCACCACGAACAAGATGTAGAGCACCACCTTGATGAGCCCGATGACCAGCTCGGTATAGAGCAGGAACACCGCCTTGTTCTCCCAGGGCGTGTCCGTTCGCATCTCCGCCGCGTGCAGCACGTACTTAATGGCTGTACTGGCGATTACGGTCAAAAGGATGGCGTACTCGAAGCCGAAGACCAACTGCACAGTGGGTCCCCGCACCAGAGTCGAGTTGTAGGCATGGATCAGTAACACGTAGTCGAGGATGCCCAGCATGGTGAGCAAGCTGCCCACGCGAATGTGGAACAGCCAGCCAAGCACGGGCGAACGCTCCATCTGTGTGTGCGTGGTTATAGTTATAGTACAGATTTATGGTATTTACAGTGGATACTCCTTACAAAGTCCACCCGCTCCTCGGCCAGCCAATGGAATGATTTGAGGAAAAGCAGCACCGTAAACAGGGCCACAAAGCGTGGATTGAAGTCGTCCCGGAATACAGTGAAGGCCAGGCAGGTCTCCGTGAGGGCGTACCAAAAGCGCTCCAGCAGATGCTCGAACTCGGCGGCACGTAGCGTGCCCAGGAAGATCTGGGGGAATAACCGGGTGTGATGGATTAGTGCCGGCTGCACGGAAAGCTTTAATACCCATTACCTTGCGGAGCAGCTTGCCAAACATGAAGACAATCACGAAGAACTGCACGTAAATAACCTGGAATTAATGGAGACCTAAATTAGGGCACGAAATGCTATTTGGATAAGATATACCCACCGCCATGGAGGCGTTTGACTTGGTTATGTAGACCACTGCCGGATAGAACTGCTGCTTTTGGTAGTAGGCATTTCCGATTACCGCGCTGGTCAGCGCCATGCAAACGGAGGATAGCAGCAGCTGCATGATGCCGCTCGTGGTCGCCAGGGCCGCCAGCTGGCTGATGGACTCCAGGAATATGTTAATTTTGGCCGGGATCGGATCTCTGCCTGCCCCCGACTCTACATATATGGTCGCAGCTTTCGGAATCGGAATCGGTACCACCTTGGGGGCAATCCGAAAATGTCGAGTTTGCTCTCGTTGACGCTGGAATTTAGCCGGGTTTTTTTAGCCGAACGAAGTTGATTGCCTTGCCATCGAGATTTACTGCTCTGGAATTGGGAGTGGTGGCTATATTAACGCGTAATAATATTTTTATTTTTAATTTTTTTTTAATTACACGTAGTACGTACCTACAGTTCAGTGTGCCCGTTTTGCTTTGTCTTGGTTTGCCGCAAATAAATACCAAAATAAACAGATCAGAAAGTAGACTTAATAAGAAAAAATACTAAAGCACAAAGTACTAAATAAATACTAAAAAGTGAGAAAGTTGTTTCCACTGAACAGCATCCGCCATTTGCGGGATCAATGGACGTATTCAACAGCAGAACATGATACATTACGCATTAATTAATTCATTTTTGCTTGTTTTGTCTGTGTTTTATCAGAACTATCGTAAGAAGTCTATCAGTGATCAAGTTTATTCCGCTGAACGCTTATGAACGCTTATCTATCAGTGATCAGTGATCATGTTCTTCTGCTGAATACGACCATTGATCCCGCAAATGGCGGATCCTGTTCAATGGAAACAACCATCAGTGATCAGTGATCATGTTGTTCTGCTGTATACGCCCAATAATGTTATCAGACTCCCTAAAAATGTTTTGCTCCTGCCAGTTAAGTCTCCAGTTAACTTCCAGTTAACCAGTTAACCAGTTAACTTCTCACTATTCTGTTTTTTGGAATATAAATTATATACAAAATTAAATATTTCGGTTGGAAATAAACTTTTTTATTAATTCTTCTCTACTTCAACTTAAATTGTACCATGAAAAGTTTTCGTTCGTCATTTTGATGAGTCTTTTGAATTTTATTAAAGCAAAAAGAGCTCTTAAATGGGTGCGAACAATTGTTAAAATGTTGGTAACTGTTTAATTGTGCCAACGATGGTCACACTACCGCCGCTCTTATCAGTAGCCGCCGAAGAAGAAGAGAACGAAACCAATTGAATGATAAACAGTCGATAAATTATAATAAGTCAGTACTAACAGACCTATTTAGAAGGTAGTTCATCCGATTTGCGATGCGGTGGCTTTGGATTCCCGTCACCTGTCTGCTGTTCGGGATTCCCCAGCCAAAAGTATCCGCCACCAAAGATGGACTTCCTCTAAATCCGAACCTTGATGAATCCACAGAATATCCTCTGTTTGAGTATGAAGATGTCAAAATACCAGCACCTACCAGGGGATTACTTTATCCCAGGGACTCGGAGACTCGCGAGGTGCGCAGCTTGGATGGAATGTGGGGCCTGATGAAGAGTAGCCCTGAAGATCCCCTCGAGGGAATCCGGGAAAAGTGGTTTTTGAATACCCTTAGACAGACCGGAAGGGAGATAATTGCAATGCCAGTACCCGCCTCCTACAACGACATAACGACGGATGACTTGCGGGATCACGTGGGAACCGTGTGGTACGAACGCACCTTTTTTGTTCCACGCTCCTGGCGGGTGAACCAACGCACCTGGCTGCGCTTCAGCAGCGTTCACTACTCGGCCGTGGTTTGGGTAAATGGCCAGAATGCTACCAGTCACTCCATTGGCCACCTGCCGTTCGAGGCGGAGATCTCGCGATTGCTAAATTTTAACGGCGAAAACCGGATAACGGTGATGTGTGACAATCGCCTGGGCAATCGCACCATTCCCCAGGGATCGGTTTACGAGGCAACTACGGATTATGGTCCTGTGCCTGTCCAGGGTTACACTTTCGACTTCTTTAACTACGCGGGCATTCACAGGAGTGTTCACTTGTACACCACACCACTGCTTCACATCAGCGACATTGAGATCACCACCAAACTAACAACCGAGGGATTGGGTCGCATAGACTACCTGCTTTGGCTGGATGGCAGCCAAGAGGGCCTCCGCATCCAGCCCACTCATCTCCTGGTGCAGCTTAGGGACAGGGATGGCGAAGTAGCTGCCCAGCAGATCAACAAAGCGGTCTACCATGGCAGTCTGCTGGTACCCAATGCCAAGCCCTGGTGGCCATACCTAATGCATCCGGATCCGGGCTACCTGTACGCCCTCCAGTTCGAACTCTTTGTGGCCAGCAATGAGGAGGAGACGGATGCGGATGCTCTGCAGGATGCCTACCGCCTGCCAGTGGGCATTCGTAGTCTTAGTTGGAGCAACGATAGCCTGCTGATCAATGGTAAACCTCTTTATCTGCGAGGATTCGGACGCCACGAGGATTCCGATGTGAGTTTACACACAGAAAAAAAAACAAGTTAAAGATCAGTCATCCTATACAAAAAATTTCCATGAAAATAGTACTTGAGCCATAAAATGTTTAGTGAACAGAAAAAAGTTGTTGGTCTTACTGTTCAGCTTTCTCTCAAGTATTGGACGATTGCCTATTACAATAGGTAATTTATATTAAGTTCATAATAAAATAAATAATTTTTCTACTATTTTAAAAGATATACCACAATTCAACGGACCAAAAATTAATAGAACAAAAGAAGCAAAATTTTTTTAAATAGTGAAGTAAAAATTTGTTCATGCTGATCTTACACAGGGTTTTTTTTTTTGTGTGAGGAGAAACTTGTGCACCTGACTAATTTCGTTTTTTTTTGCAGATCCGCGGCAAAGGACTGGACAACGCGCTCCTGGCCCGCGATTTTAGTCTGCTCAAGTGGATTGGAGCCAATGCTTATCGCACCTCGCATTATCCTTACTCTGAGGAGTCCATGCAGTTTGCCGATCAGCACGGCATCATGATCGTCGACGAGTGTCCTGCAGTGAACATAGACATCTTTGAGCCGCAGCTGCTGGAGCAGCACATGTCCTCGCTGGAGCAACTGATCCACAGGGACAGAAACCATCCCAGCGTAGTGGCCTGGTCGGTGGCCAATGAGCCGCGATCCACTAAGCAGGGAGCCCTTAAATATTTTGAGTGGGTGGAGAGATAATTAAAATCGGATAGATAAACATTAACATATAAAATCTAATTTATAGATCTCTGGTGAACTTTACAAGGAGCATTGCCCATGGTCGTCCTCTAACGGCGGCCATCAATGCCAGTCCAACCACCTGCCATTTGGCGCAGTTTCTGGACATCGTGGGCTTCAATCGCTATAACTCTTGGTACCAAAACTCGGGACGCACTGACATGATTGTCAACCTGCTTACGAATGAGGCCCAGAGTTGGCGGGATAAATTCGGGAAGCCAGTCATCCAGTTTGAGTATGGCGGGGATACCATGGAAGGCATGCATTCGGTGAGGAGCTGGGACGAGGGTCATGTTTGATTTCTTATATCTCCTTTAACCACTAAAGCTGCCTGCCTTTATTTGGTCCGAAGAATACCAAGTGGAGCTCTTTTCTCGGCACTTTAAAGCTTTTGATGAACTTCGAGAAAGAAAGTGGTTCATTGGGGAGTTCGTGTGGAATTTTGCCGATTTCCGAACTGCTCAAAGTAGGTAATTCCAGCCTCATGTTTTTTGATAACTATAAGTTTCTTATTTCTATTTCAGCAATTACCAGAGTAGGTGGCAACAAGAAGGGGGTCTTTACCAGGAACCGACAACCCAAAGAGGTGGCCTTCCTTCTGAGGTGGCGGTACTTCGCATTGGCCAAGGAATTGGATCAGTGCACGCTTCCTCAGGATCTAACAGTGTATATTTCCAAGCATGTACATAATGAGCTTTAGATCAGGGATTCCATTACATCTTAAATCATTAACGCACACAGAAACCATTAAATATTCCTTATTCCTGAATAAAAGTAATAATAAACTTAAATTTAACAAGTTATTCTCCTGTTTCACTCATAACTTGACCCATTTTGAAGGGTTACTTCTATTCTCAAAGGTTAAAACCATTTCTTGTTTCTGTACCTCAGGTAAGCCCATAATCGTTAAGTTCACATATGTATAAACGTGTTTCCCTTATAAAATCATTGGCTTTGCTTTGCCATGGCCAAGTCGTGTTGGTTCAGACCTCTCGACAGTAAACCTAATTAACTCATTTAGCCCCTCTCGTAAAACCATTTATATTTTCTGCTTTGCCACTTTACGCGTTTTGGCAAAAGAAAAACGAAATAGCAAAATGAGGCGCCGCACAATAGGGCATTTCCATGGCCAGAAAGCAGATGAGTTGGCCGTGCGAAATCGTGGCATAATTAAGGTGGCTAAATGAAACAGCCGCTCCACAGCTATCTTCGATCTGTAATTGGCATTCCTCCCCCGCTGGCTACACATTTTGCATACTTTTACTTTTACCCCTAGCTCGAGAATGGGTCCGCCGGTGCACCGAGGTGACCACATGGCGAGTGGATCAACTGGTCAGACTGTCTGGTGTCTGGGATATTGCACAAGACAGCTGAGGATGTGGCTTTTTGCATAAGCCAAAAACCGCCCGAATGGTTAGCACCCAAAGGCTAAAGTTAGCTGCAGAATGGCCAACGTAGTTGTGTGTTTTTTTTTTGCGGAAAACAAACGTGGGCTCCGACATAGGCACACAGTCATCGACACCAGGCCATCGCCGAAGAAGACCGGTCACAGATCCCATCCCAGCGGACCCAGGCAAAAACGTGTCGCAGCAATTTCTTATTCAACAGCGGCTTTTCCAAGCACGCCGCGGCAAAGCACTTAAAAAAAATGTATTTATGTTATAATAACTCAGGCATAAGAAAGGACAAATAAAAATTTAACCATTTTACCATTATAAGGCATTGCTATTTCCGATTTTAAGAATATTGTCTAAAATTATTTATTATTATTATTGCTTGAAAATCAGTGCGTACTTCAAGAAGTTAAAAATTTTCTTTAAGTGTCTATATTATTGCTGTTGCTGCCCATACTGTCGGTTCGCGTTGCATATGCACTGCATTTACTGCGCCACCTCCTACCTTCTCCTCCGCCCGCCGGCGACTTTTCTACTCATCTGCCAGGCTCCAAGTTCCCTGCTCCATGCTCCAACTCCATGAGTGCGTCGTTGGGCTCCAAGTCGCGGTCTTCGCGCTTGACTTACATAAAGCGTGGAGCCCCTCGCATGCCAAAAACAAAACCCGTTTCTTTCCGCGACAAGGAAACGACAGAAGCGACGTCACATGGCCCAGGTGAAGTATAGATGATGCGGAGAAGGTGTGGAGGAGGAATGGTGCAGACCTCTCTCGATGATCAGTGGCTGGATTGGGTTGATGTTTGGCTATTGCTGCACGGCAAAATCATAATTAAATACAAGCAAAAATAATATTTAATTTATTCACTCCTAAAATATGATTTTTTTTTTAAATATATAGAACCAGTTTAAAATAGTATTACATAAAGCAGATTTCCAAATGTTAATAAAATTATGATTTTAATGCTAAACCCTAAAATTATTAGGAATAAAATATTCAGAGCCTTAGAGTTTTTGAGGCTTAAAAATCGTAAAAAAATAGTAGACACATATTTAAATTCATCACACGTTTATTTATGTAAAATTGTGGTGTTACGCCGTGTAATTAAAAAATTATATTTCCTGTGTAACATTTTGTGCTGGGGGCTCGCAGGCTTATGTCATCTGTGTAGCTCACCCAGCATGCTGAGAATGAACAATCAAACTTCAATGGTTAAATACACATTTTGCTAACTCATCTTCATCAGCGCAATTACAACTTTGTCGCACCGAGCATTCTCCCTCTGTCATCAATAGGCCGGAATAATGAGTTTTTGTCGCAGCATCGCCTCATCTGCGACTGTGAAAAATTACCCCTCTTTATTATTAATCATGTAGGTAGTTCTTGTGCGTTGGTCCATTAAAATGTTCAAAGGCAAAATGATGCACCTGATCTTCTCAGCAGGTGGGGAAGGAAAGAACGATGCTAATTGTGTATGTTGCGCATACGAGATGATGACTGTTATAATCTTTGTCTTGAGTTCAAAGCAACCAAAAGTACACATGTTTTAGTTCTTGAATAGATCTAAAAATAAAATGGGTAATAAATAAAATTCCAAAATAAAATTGGCTTGTAATTTCAATTTAGTTTTTTGGCCAGGGCGTAGTCCCTTCAGCAAAAGACGGGTTGCAAAATAAATCTCGATGGCAGACGAGGCTTTGCGAATTCGATTTGAAAATTTAAGCGCGTCTGTCAGTTGGCAGCTTATTCGTTTGTGTGGGTTTATTTTTATATCGGCTTGCCTTGTTTTTCTATTGCTGGCCCAATTATAGTGTCATAACAATTACACACGCACACACTCAGAGACATAATGAGTTTGTTTCGGTTTGAGCTGAATATACAGAGAAAAAACTAAGAAATAACTGAGAAAAAGACCGAGACAAATAGCGAACGGCGAAAACCAAGAGCCTAAGCCATCGCCATCACTGTCCAAAGTTGACCTACTGGAAGACGTGTTAATGATTGTTATGTTCAGATAGGCTACGATGTATAAAAAGCGCTCATTAAAAATTGCAAAAACGCGAAAAAAATAAGCAGAGCCAGCGATAAACCAAAACAAACTCAATCTTAATGAATAAGACTATAATTAAACTCCCACAATTATATTGTACATTGAGAGGCATAGGCGATAGAAAGCTACTATCCGAAAGAGTAAGACACTTTTGAAGCAAATCAAGACTCAATATTAATGGCAATCTTTTCTTAGTTTTATTAGAACATAATTAAGATTGTATATTTAGGAGTTTTTAAGCTATTAATAAGAGAATGGTAAATACACTTATTTTCTTGGAAGACTGCAAAGTAGAGTTGAATAGGATTTGGACAGAACTTCACAAATAAAAACACGTTTAAAAGATAAAAACAAATAATAGCTTCATGTTTTTGAACTTCACAAATGTAGCCATGTGTTTTTCAATTGAATACAAATGGTGTTAATAGCTTCATTTTGTTGACTATGTAAAAGGTTAGTACTCGACTGTTTCGAACCATTTCCAGTCTTGCATGTGACCTTTTCCCGTTACTCCAATTACACGGCCGAAAGTGAAGCCCGACAAAAAGTGAATTACGCCATCGATGGGTGAGAGACCTTCGCCGGAATCTCTCGACCACAATAAACTGAATTAACATTAACGACAGTGGTTGCCACAGCTGATCAAAACAGTTCCGAGCCACGAAAATAATTTAGCGCACTGTCATTGAGTCGGGGTGCCCCCGCCATCGAGTGTGAAGTGTTGACTTTCATCTCATTGTTGCCCTCGAACTTAAACCCAAGCCCAAACCCAAAACCGAACACGATCTCCAGGTGAAGACCCAAACTCCAATTGCAGATAGTGCCCCAACGCAATGCGGCAAGTCCTTCACTTTGAAGCGTGAAGGTTTCCTAAGAGCCAAGACGCCCTTAAAGCACTCAAAGAAAAAGTTTTTATTTAAAATAAATTTACAGGTACTTTGAAATAATCGTTTGTGTCAGATATTGAGGATAAAAAAGAACTCTAATAATCTGATAGGTTCCATTAAATAAATTATATTCTCTTCAATATAACAGGTAGTAATTTATTGTAAAATAAGTAAAAGTATCTTTGGTGAAATGATTTCACTGTATGGAGCCAAAGACATCGTTGCTTTTGCGTCTTCGCGAAAGTGTGTGTCGAGATGTAAATAAACCTCATTTACTCCAATTTACTTCCAGTTTTATTTCCAGATGAATGCAGTTGTCTTCCCTTTCATTGCGTTTTTTAATCGCACCTTTTCGTTGGCCATCTGAAACTCCACAGGTGCTCATCCGCTGAAATGACATAATGGGCGTAATGGACGATTCAGGTCCAAGTCCATTGAGGACTTCTTTCACTTCTGCCAGAATGAGCGCATATTTCTGGTTTTCGAGGTCAGATGGGTGTCGTAACCGCAAACCCGATTTCATTTGGCCAGTTAAGCCTAACAAAAACATTTTTTTATTTAAAGAACAAAAGAGGTAATTATATTACTAAACTATCTATTAGTTTGTCATGAAAAAAAAGTTTTTAAAATTTAAAAATTTGTTAACGGATTTTAAAAAGTGACAGTTTTTATTAACAGAACCATTCCTCTTACTGGAAACCTCTAATAAAAAAACATTATTTGCAATAAAATAATGAGATAGGAAAACAATTAAGTAAAAACGTTAAAGAGAAAGAAAGGTTTCCACATTTTAAGAAATTTTTAAGACAAACGCGTCCAAGTCTTTGTTAAATTTTTTGGGGCTCTTGCTATTGCCCCACTCATCTGCAAATGTAAATTAAATTTACCTCCTTGGGAAACATTAATTATACGCCCCGTGGTGCCATAGAGGCCTACTGCTCCACTTTGAGATCGTACGTATTATACATGTCTCTGCCCCCCTTTACTTACCCCCAATTCGCATTTCCCAGCCCATTTCGTAATCTTTCGTGAATATGTGACGCTGATGCTGATGGATGACGAGCCCAGGCTGCGATTTACTCACAATTGAAATGCAACTGCAGGCAACGGGAAATGAGATCTGAAAACTGAAGTTTCGTCACTGGAGCCATCCCTCATGGTCAAAAAAATATTTATTTTCTGATCCACCATTATCCTCGTGGGCTGTCTGACAATCTCAGTGGCTGGGTTGTTTACCTTTGGTATCAATTGCGGTGGTGGGAAAAATCACTTCCTGGTCCAAGTCGCGAATCGAAGGAAAGTGCCAAAGAAAATCTCAAATACCAAAATCGTTAGCGACATTTTATTTTTTTGGCCTTTTCTTTTTTTTTCTTATGTCTTGACGTTGTGTTTTCCATTTGGAAATTTTGTTTTATTGTGAGAAGCGCACTGCCACAGCAACAGAAAAAACAAGTTGCGGACGAAGTTTGGCGATAATGACGTTGCCGAATGGACGAGTTGGGCCGAAGAGCTGAAGACCGCGGGTATAAAGAGTGGCTCTGCTGGCCAGGGAGATGCATTCAGTCGCTGGTTCCCCACTCGGAAGCAACCAAATTTACTCCACTCTACTCTACTCAACTTTTCTTCCCAACAAACACACTCACCCAACTCGTCGCTATGAACTCCTTCTCAGTGGTAAGTAATAAACGATTCCGAAGATCTCAAGGCCCAGGCAGCCGACAGAAAAAGAGTGCACCTAAACGGATAACGGATTTAAAACGGATTTTAAAAAATAATCATTCTATGTTAGCTAAGAACCCAACAAATGAATTCTTAAACCAAAAAGACTTCCAAAATACCTTTTCCAAAAGTCCTCAAAACAACAAGATTAGTACACGAATATATATAGGGATTTACAAGTATCTAGTATCAGTAGCTTTTCATACTAACTTTTTCTTAAAACTCAAAGAAACAAGATGATTACTTTTTCCCTTTTCCAAAATTATTGTAAAGGAGTATTTAAAACTCTTAATTCGCGGACCAAAGTCCGCAAAAAAAAACAATCCAAGTATACGAACATGTACAGCTTCCTTTAAATGTCTAGTAACAGTAGATCCTTATAATTACCATTTCTAAAAACTCGGACAAACAAGACGAGTACTCTTAATGTTCGGCTATTTCAAACAAATTTTATTTCAAATAAGTTTTAATCCTGAGGATTCCCAATCAACGAACATTTTGATCGAAATCCTTAAGAAATAAACTACTGTATTACGAAAGACTTTTAGGATTTGGATAACTAGCACACTACTCCATTGTTTCCTTTTTCTAGTTCTTAGTGTTCGCTCTGGCGGCCTTGGCTGCGGCAGAGCCACCATCCGGATATAACTATCCCCGCGGGGGAGGAGGAGGTGGCTCGGGAGGTGGCTTTGGAGGTGGCTTTGGGGGCGGATTCGGAGGCGGCGGCGGCGGTGGCGGCGGCGGCTACCAGGCTGTGAGCGGCGGCTTCCAGACTTCCGAAGGCCAGAACGTTGATCCCCAGCTACTGGAGCAGGTGCGTCAGATCCTGCTGAACGAGGAGAGCAAGCAAGGAGGAGGTGGTGGTGGCGGCGGCGGAGGCGGCGGCGGCTATCCTAGTGGCCCGTCCACCAGCTATGGTCCTCCATCGACCAGTTACGGAGCTCCTGGAATCGGAGGAGGTGGTGGCCGTGTGGTTGGCATCGATCTGGAAGGCGTGCGTCAGGCCATCCAGGTGGCCCAGTTCGCCCAGCAGAGCTCCCAGTCGGGAGGCGGCGGCGGCGGATACCCCAGTGCCCCATCTGGATCGTATGGAGCCCCCTCGAGGCCCAGCGGCAGCTATGGAGCGCCCTTCTAGATCCACGCAACGGTCTCACACACATATCTCTGCCAAAAATGAATACCGACGGACACGAATACCGACAAAGACGACATCAATTTGGGCATCCTGGACCTAGAAAAAGGAACTACCGATTCGCTCTGATCCCGAGAGATCTGGTGATCGTTTCCCATCTCAAGACCCCTTCCAAAACTCAGCGACTGTGCATCCCGTTCCCTTAAGAACCCAAACTCAATCTCGAATTTCGGCTCGTACCTTCAAAACGAATTTCGAATCCGTGGCTTCGTTTTGGACTTTTTTTGTAACCCTTGTAAATAGTTTTCTCACACTACACGAAAACAAGAAAAACCGAAATCGAAATCCACAAAACAACAACACCCAGAACACCAAGATGGAAAAAAAAAACCAGACAGTGTTATAACGCATTATTAGCTCGTAAGTGTTTTTATTTTATATGAAACAAACAAAGAAACAACAAAAAAATATGAAAACAATAAAAAAAATAGTAAATTTTGTCACCGTTAAATCATAGCCATGTTTTTATTTCAACTTCAATGGGGTGTACCGTAATAATTCATCGTAAAACTCATCATTAAAAGCAACTGACCCGATTTCTTATTGTTTACCTCCGAAACACTCGATGATCTCGTAATGACAATCCATTCACATAGGCCAAATCCAATTTAACGAGTTCACAGCACTCATACCGAGTTGTCACTGGCCTCATCCGAGTTTATTAAATACCAAACCAAATAAACAACTTCAAAAATCCTTTCACTTTTCAACTTGAAGATGAGGTATCTGTAACCCCTGCCCTAGTCTCACATACATTGTTGAAAACGTTTTTTAAAATCAGGTACATTGACTTTTATACTTTCAGATTTTAAAATATTGAATAGTAGGACATGAAAAGTCGCCCTAGATTAAATAATGGTTTCTTATACTAGATAAAAATTTTTGAGTTTTTATAACCCTGAACTTGTATACTTTTTACTCAAAGAAAACAGATTTCTTAAATTTAACGTGTTAGGTTAAATAAGAGGGTAAAAACATTTAAGAAAATAAAACAAAACATTTTGGTAACACTAAGTAAAAACAAATTTGTATAAAGCGGCTTTCTTTTTAAAATGTTTCGACAATGGTTTTGCATCTAAGACATTTGATACTTATTTTTGTGTATTAAAAAATTTGTTTTACTCCTTTGATTAAATATAAATCAAACATTTATTTCAAATTAAATTTTAACGCTAACAAATATCGTGCAGTGCATGGAGTACTCTCAGGCTTAAAGGCCGTCGTGCAAGTGCTCGAAATGAAAGATGTGGCCGGAGAAGAGGATGGGGTTGTGGATGGCATATGGAACCGGAGGGGCGCTCATTACGTCAATGTTGCGACAGATGCAGTCGAGACTCTGGGTTAGATGCTTCGCCTGGCGGGGAAGGGGCTCGGGGCCAGGGGAGGATGAGTCGATGGACATCAACTATTACCACTACTGAAGTTGGAGTTGTGGCTCAGAGCTTTAAATGAAGTGGAAGCTGGAGCTGAAGTCGCAGCCACTTAACAAACATTCGGCATCATTAAGATTGCCCAATTGAATGCGTGCCGAGATGGCCATCCAAAACGATGCACTGGCAGATGAGACGCCAAATTAAGTGGAATCCACCGATTACGGCATCAGAAAAGCTGCAGAAGCTAAAAAAAAACCATATATATTGAATTATTCAGGTGTCTGATCGATCAAACAAGGAGAGTAAGATTGTACTTGCATTTTGCCATCATAAGTCACAACTTGTATGAGATAACTATACCTAGACTTCAAACTATAAGTCAAATCATATTTTGTTCGTAAAATCATATCTTTTTTTTTTTATTATTACAATATGTTAATGTCCAATCACTATTGAGTTACTACAAAGAAATATAGGTACATGACATAGAGAGTACTGTTTGGCTGATGGCATAGAGATAAAGATCATATGTGAAACGATATAGATAACGGCATGTTACTTTCGTCTTCCTTTTTTCATAGAAAGATTACAGATTGGCCTGCTATTAAGTCATTAACAAGCCGCAAAAGGCGCCAGTTATTATGGAATTTTATTTGTTTATTTATATTTTGAATAACTTATAAATAAATTTACTTGTGCTAAAATTATTGTCCTATATCAAAATTACTACTCGTTTCCAAATACAACTATTGTGATTAAATTATTTATTTCTTGTTTTAAACTGAAATACCACGCGTTCTCGAAATCACCTACTGTGATGAAATCATTAATCTTCCGTTTTAAACTGATATAAAAAGTATATATACAGAAATTACGATAACAACTTCTTTATTTCCGACCGTAACAAAGAAATATATGTAAATGACATGGAGAGTTAGTTTTGGCTGATGTTATAGAGATAAAGTTCATATGTAAAACAATATACATAGATAACGGCATGTTACTTTCGTCTTCCTTTTTTCTTAGAAAGGTTACCGATTGGCACGCTAATTTATGTGGCTTGCGATTTAGTCATTTACAAGCCGCGAAAGGTCCCAGTTATATTCGAATTTTCTTTATTTACCTTAATGCTAAAATTATTGTCCTATAACAAAATTAGTTCCCGTTTCCAAAAACAACTATTGTGATTAAATTATTTGTTTCCTGTTTTAAGCTGATATAAAAAGAATAATATTAGAAATCCTACCCGATCTCGAAAGCACCTAATGTTATGACATCATTAATCTCCCGTCTTAAGCTGATATAAAAAGTATATACATATAAAGCAACTATGATAATTTAAGCGAACGCTAAGAACTATCAAAGCCCCAGATCTATAAAACCTACATGGGTATTTACATAAAGCCCAGCAGGGCAATACACAAGGTAAATGCTCTTAAATAAAACATTTGATAAGAATCAACTTTCAGCATTCCCATGCAAACAAAAATAATAAGACTCACTATAAGCTTATAAAATTCTTTCTTCTAAGCTCACGATAAGCATCAACAATTGAAGCGGCCTTGTCTGGGACCAAATCCGGAACACGGTCCTCGAGAGATTTCACCTCACGTGAACTGCTCCTCTTCCCAGATGACTTGCAAAAAGCCGATGACTAGCGGGTTCTCGGCCGGACTATAATAGTGATATCAGTATATTAGTATACAGCTCTGCTAGTTGAATGACAGTGAAAATTGGGTGACCTAGCTGCGGACCCATCGCAGATTACTTAATCTCGGTTAACGAGGAGTTCTTATCGCACTCTACTGTGAGAATCTTACAAAGGGGCCTTGAGATCCTAGAAGATTATACCATCATCTAGATAAGGTTCGTACGCGAGTCCGCCGTCGATAGATTGTATTTAGAGCAGGCAATTCCGGAGATAATTTGTGGGTGGGCAGAAAAATCTTATATAAAGACAAGGCGGTGGCCGGGATCCGCTTAATCGTGATTCTACGGCCACGGAGCCAGAAAGTGAAAAGTGATCCGAGATCTGTGAACCGTGAATCCTTTCGAAATGGCGTCCCCTGTGAATGCCACCGTTTTCGCAACCACGGCTGCCACCGTTATTCCCGATTCCCAGTTTGTTTTCAATTCCACGGACTACGCCGTATTCGCACTAATGCTGGGAATCTCCGCCTCAATCGGAGTTTACTTCGGATTCTTTGCCAAGGGTGCCGACACCACGGAGGAGTATCTGATGGGCGGCAAGCGGATGAAGACCATTCCGATTGCCATTTCTCTGGTGGCCAGCCAATTGTCGGCCATATCCATCATGACCATTCCGGCGGAGATGTACGCCTACGGAGTCAATTGGTTTTTCAATGTGGTTTGCATGCTGGTTGTGGTGCCGCTTCTCAACTACGTGGTCATCCCGGTCTTTTATAACAACAACATCACAAACTGCTATGAGGTGATCTAGTTGTGTTGAGTTTTTCCAAAGGGAACGTTTTTTATTTCAATTCCTATGTCCGCAGTACTTGGAGATGCGCTTTTGCCGGGAGGTAAGAGTGCTTCAGACATTCATCTTCATCATGACGATGTTCTTTATGCTGCCAATCTTTATTTTTCTGCCTTCACTGGCTTTTGCACAGGGTAAGAGAGTGGCTTACCTTAGGTATTAATTGTTCTCCAGTTAGCAATTTTCTTCCTTCTTTAGTGACTGGATTTAACGTGCACATAATCAACACCATTGTCTGCGGCATCTGCATCTTCTACACCATGTTTGTAAGTACACTGGTGAAAAAACGTAGTAAATCTAGGTATTACATACTCAATTTAGGTATTTTTCGCTTTGATTTGAAACTATTGCTGTTTTTAGTTATTTTACAAATTAATTTATTTCCTTTTCCTTTTTCATCTGACTATTTCGAAATAGATTTTCATATCTAACAAGAAAGGAAGCAAACTTCGGCAAGCCGAAGTTCATATACCCTTGCAGCTATTGCAAAAATTAAATATTTCTTAAAACATTAAAATTATGATGTACTTGCGTATATGTCTAAAAACATTGAAACTGTGATGATTTGCAGCTCAATTATTATATAGTTATTTTATATATTTTTATTATTTCTATGGGAGCTATATGATATAGTCGACCGATTTTGATGAAATATTTAACCATTATTATATGTCGAAGAACTAATAGAAAAATTTAAAAACAGCAAAGTTATAATTTTGTTTGTATTTTTTTCCGATTGTTCCTATGGGAGCTATATGATATAGTCGTCCGATTTTGATGAAATTTAAACCGTAATTCTGAAATATTTAACCATTACTATATGTCGAAGAACTAATAGAAAAATTTAAAAACAGCAAAGTTATAATTTTGTTTGTATTTGTTTTTTCGATTGTTTCTATGGGAGCTATATGCTATAGTCGTCCGATCCGGCTCGTTCCGACTTATATACTACCTGCAATAGAAAGACAACTTTTGGGAAAGTTTCATGCAGATAGTTTTAAAACTGAGAGACTAGTTTGCGTAGAAACGGACGGACAGACGGACAGTTGGACAGACGGACAGACGGACATGGCTAGATCGACTCGCCTAGTGATGCTGATCAAGAATATATATACTTTATAGGGTCGGAGATGTCTCCTTCACTGCGTTGCAAACTTCTGACTGAAATTATAATACCCTCTGCAAGGGTATAAAAATTAAATTTAAGTTAAGACCCATTTCAAATTTAATACATTTGTTTATTTATTAATATTTTTTTTAATTCCATTTTTATCAGTATAATAACATAGTGTTTTAATCGATTTTTGTCAGGTTAGGAAAAATAATAAATAGTGTCTTTAAACTTTAAATGTCTTGGAAAGCATTTCAAAAGAGAGTTTTGTGAAAAGAATTTATAAATCATCTTAATCTTTTTTATATACATTTTAGGGCGGCATCAAGGCTGTGGTGTGGACCGATGTTATCCAAGCCGCAATAATGGTTGCGTCGGTTGTTCTGGTGGGCATAATGGGCGCCAATCGAGTGGGTGGTTTCTCCGAAGTTTTCCGCATTGCCGGCGAGGGAGGGCGATTAGATATTAAGTGTGTTCCACCAGACTCACTATCAATTCGATACTAAATCCTTGTTATTTCAGCTTTAATTTTGATTTGACCACACGCTCCACAATTTGGAATATTTTCACCTCGGCGACACTAATGTGGTCGGGATATGTGGGTTTGAATCAGAGCTGCGTTCAGAGAATTGTGTCCCTGCCATCATTGGGTCACGCCAGGAGGTAAGTATTTTATACCCAATTTAAATATTTTTTGTTTTAATTTTCATCCATTGTGGGTTTTAGTAATTTTCACTATGAAAATATTACTATTACTATATATTAATATTATTTAAATATTTAATTTAACAACCTCCAGATTTTAATATATGAAAATTTAATATAAAGTTAAACCATATTAGATATAATATTTAAAAATTAGGTCATGCCTTTAATATGCTTTGTATTAAATGTAATATTTTTTTTTTTAATTTAAATATGTAAAATACCAATGTTCGATTTTATAAAGATTTTTGTACCATGTTTTTTGAATCAGTGTAGGGTCACGACTGATCTTAGTTAAAAAGTTCAATAATAAGGTACATAAAATGACAGTTTGTCAAATCAGTTTTAGTTATAAAGTTTTTTAACCACATTTGTAACCTTCACCAACTTTTTTCCCAAACAGAGCCCTCGTCCTTTTCGGCTTTGGCTTCATCCTGATCATGTTCTTCAACTGCTTCACGGGCGTCGTTATATACGCCCGCTTCCACGACTGCGATCCCCTCGATGCAGGTCATGTCTCTAAGGTGGACAAGATGGTTCCGTATTTCGTGCAGGATACAGTGGGTCAGTTGTGGGGCATGCCAGGCGTGTTCATATCGTGTGTGTTCAGTGCTGCTCTCAGCACACTGTCCGCCAGTATAAATTCGTTGGGCGGAGTGGTCTACTTTGACTACATCAAACCCCACATCCGGCACACGGAGCACAGGGCCAACGTGATTATGAAGCTGTTCGTGCTCTTTTCTGGAATATATTGCATCATTGGGGGAATGGTGGTGGAGAACTTCAACTCCATTCTACAGGTTATCTATTCGATTGGAGGCGTTAGCTTTGGCTCCACGTGTGGTGTTTTCATGCTGGGAATGCTGGTACCGAAATCCCATGGAAGGGTAAGTTATTGAGTTTCAGAGTTATCTTCAGGTCTTACCCTTGTCTTTAATCCTTTTAGGCTGCCTTGGTTGGGGTGTTTGTTAGTATCGTCTGCATGGCCAGTATTGTGATTTTGAGTTGGGGACGCAATCACTACGATCCTCTGCCCACCAGCACCGCCGCCTGTCCAGCTCCTTCTTTCAACGCAACCATTACCAATTCCAGCACAGTTTCATCACTGCTTTTTAATTCCACAACAGAAAGCCCGGAAAAAGTTGATGAGGGGTTCAGCATCCTGGATCTCTCCTTCAACTGGTACACGGTGATGGGCTTCGTCATCACCTGGCTGGTAGCTGTTCCCCTGAGCTACATCCTGAAGCCTAGACCCGATTACAAACCGGACCCAAAGCTCCTGTCGCCGGTGGTGCAGCCCTTTGTCCACTACAAGTTGACACCATTGGAGGAACCCCACCAACTGAAGCTGGAAAAGCCCGAAAAAGTATGAGGACATGGGTGTGGTTCTTAACAATAAAGTATGCTTCATAAGCATAGCTATATTATAACATAGGTAGTGCAGCTTAAACTCTCTAACTCTCAACAATATCTACCAAGTAATGTTTTAAAGCCTTAAACGGTTCTTTATTGTTCTATCAAATGTTAACTGTGTGGTCTAGTTTCTAAATGTTCTATTAAATGTTAACTGTTAACTTGTTTGTTAGCGGAGTACACAAAATAAAATAAAACTAACTTAGAAAATTAATTTATTTTTTTATTTTGATTAAAGTTTAACTGTAGATACTAGAGGTTTTATTCAGCAGATACTAGATAGATGGGAACTGTCTGCTTATCACCATAACTACAATAACAACGTTAGTCTTGGTAAGAAAAGAGATTCTAAATATACCCACCAAGTAAACTTAGTCTTCATCGTTTGTTAGCAAGTATCCAAAGGCTCTCTGATGCGAATGATCAGTCTAATCAGTTGTGCAAAGGGTCCCAACCAAAGTCATAATTCTTATCGCTGACATTGGCAAATATTTGAGCCGTAATAGGTGGGCCAGCAGTGTTAAGCTCTAACCACTCAGACCAAGGGTCGTATAACAGCCACTCTGCAAACCTATCACGAGTATTTACCCCCTTAAAAAAATTAAATTATGCTTAGACAAACACTTAAAACGGAAAGTTTCAACAGACGTGAGAATAGTAATTAGAACTGTCTTTGAAAAAAAACACATGATAGATGTTTTCACTTTTGGGCATGATTATACTTTCTTTTTTAAACCTATTGGGCTACAGTTCAAGTGAAACTGATAAAGTCGTTGTGAATAACTGAAAATAATCGAAAGCTTACTCTCTCTTCTTAAATAACAGAGTTTAAGTCAAAAACACATCTTGGATAAGTAAAAAGCCTTAAGCTTAATTTTTTTAATTTTAATTTTTTTTTGTTTTCCCTAAGACAGCTGGGAAGACAAGCAGCTAAGTAAGTAACAGATAGCTAAGACACACATTGAAAGACTTTGTCACTTTTAAATCTTAAATAGTACTTTAGATGAACAAATTATTTGTAAACTCAAATACACCATTCTAAAAATAAATTAATAACACAGCTAATTTTAGTAGCTAAAAAAATAGTTTATATTTTTACGTAGTAGAAATTGCTTGACTGTATTATATATTAATTTGTATCAAAATATTCTAATAGTAAAAATCTAGTAATTACTTCAACTGAAAACCAAAGCATAGGGTTATAAAATAAAAATCATTTTTTGTAGTCAAAACAAAATAAACAATCTGGAGGCAATACCTTTAAGTATTCCATACAATACTAACTGTATTAATTTAATACAAATGAGAAACACTGATGTACATATGAAGATATATGAAATGGGCAAGAAGCTATATTACAGTGTAATGGTTTTTAAAAGGCATTCCCTCAGAACCCTAAGAAAATGTCAGTATTATCGCATCGCATCGCTTTTAGCGCCCACCTTGACATCATTCTAAAGGAATCTATTTAGTATAAATTATTATTTAAAGAAGGTATTCCTTAGATTTGCATCACTTGAAGGTATTGAGAGTTTCGGATTTGGAAAATAGTCTACATTTTGTTTTATATTTCAGCAAACAGACGCAGCAGACTTAGAACCAGAAGATGATGCTGTCCGATTCACCAGTTCAAGTTATACTCCAATTATAACATCTGTACATTTTAACCTCGTACATGCCGGCTATGTGGGAACGCCAGGCACAAAAATAACAACACGATATAAGAGCGGCATGCCGGACAGATAAGTGGAGCGCTAAGCTCCCGTATGATTTACGGGGTAAACGTCAAGTTCAGATAAGGAGGCGCCCCAGGCGGGAGCTATATTAAAGTACAATCCAAGCCAGGGCCTGCAAGTTTTCCCCCAGCATCCGTGCCATGTGTACGGGTTTGACAGGACAAAAACCTTACATCGAGAGCATAAAATCACCATAATTCCAGACAGGATGCCCAGTGCTACCACTATGGCTAGTGGCGTTTCCGTCGCTTCGCAGGACTTAAGGTTTGGCCTCACGGACTATGTGGTCTTCGTCATCATGCTGGGCGCTTCTGCAGGCATTGGAGTCTACTTTGGATTCTTCTCAAAGACCAAGAACACTACGGAGGAGTACCTGCGAGGCGGGAAGAAGATGCAGACCCTGCCCATTGCCATATCTCTGGTGGCCAGGTGAGATAACAGCGGTGTCCGGCGGTCCCAGCCGGATTCCTCCCGATTCCGTCACAGTTTATCTTGCTTTATTGGGGCTCATATAAGCGGGTTGCGTCAATTGCTCAGAAGTGTTATAGGTGCGCTGTGTTCTAGGAACTGCTCGTATTGGGGATTTGAAAAATCCCATCATAATGATTGAGTAACCCACACGGAACTAGAGAATCTGTTTGGGCATTCATCATATTTGATCACTGGAGTTCGCACACTAATATATGTGTATCATTTCCAGTCAATTATCTGGCATTGCCATCATGTCCATACCTGCGGAAAGCTATACTTATGGATTCAACTACATATTCGTGGTTTTGGCCATGATTGTGGTGATTCCTATTTTAATCTACATCATTGTGCCTGTTTTCTACGAGAACAATGTTTCCAATTGCTATGAGGTAAGTGAGGAGTTACAAACAAAAAACCTTGTTGTAATTGATCTAAAGTTAATGTTAAACATTCTTCAAAATCAGAATTAGTTATACAAATTAGACATATCATCTATACAGAAAATTTACAAACCAATTAAGCCACTATTACTTAAACACTTCACTCATTCAAATATTTTACTAAATACTTAAGAGTAACATTAATATATTTTATATATTTTCTCACACATAAGTATTTGGAGATGAGGTTTAACAAGCGAACCCGACAGTTGGTGACCGCCACCTTCGTTATGAACTCGTTCCTGATGCTGCCGGTTTACATGTTTATTCCATCTTTAGCTTTTGCCCAGGGTGAGTAATCGAAACCCTCAAATCAGTGTCCGCTTAAATCTTACATTGCAGTGACTGGTATGAATATCCATGTCATCAACGTAATGGTCTCCTCCATCTGCATTTTCTATACGATGCTGGGAGGGATCAAGGCGGTAGTTTGGACGGATGTCGTTCAGGGGGGAATTATGCTTTTGTCCGTGGTCGCCGTGGGAGTTTTGGGCACCATCCGATCGGGAGGCGTCTCTACTGTTATAGAAAATGCCTCTGAAGGCGGTCGCCTTAACTTTGAGTAACTTTGTAGGCTCTAATTTTAAAGAAAGCGTTTAAAACCCACCAATATTGCAGCTTTGGTTTGGATCCTCGCATCCGCATGACTTTCTGGAGCGGCACAATGGGAGGAATTTTTATGTGGACGGGTCACATTGGCCTAAATCAAAGCTGTGTGCAGCGCATCGTTTCCCTGCCCTCGTACTCCCATGCCAAAAAGTAAGATTATAGATCAATAATTTAAATATTAAAGAGATAAAAATCAATATGAATCGGATCCAGTTTCTTAAAAAATTATTCGAAAAAATGGCTAGTTTTTTAAACTTTAATTTAAATGTTAACTTTTTCGAATTGTCTTTACAGATCCCTGATTATTGCTGGACTGGGTTTCCTAATCATTAGTTTCTTCAACACTATCTCGGGTATAATTATGTTTGCACGCTACTATGGATGCGATCCAATGATAGCTGGTGTAAGTTTCTTTTTAAAAAGACCTCATAAAAAAATTTCTTTTTTGTGTATAAATAATATATAATAAACCCAAGTTAAATCTATTTTCCATATTTACTAGGTAAAGTATCTTTTGCATACATGATACATTATTATTTTAATGACATACTAAAAATATAAAATTACTGTGCATTTAATACCTTTTTAGCTGGTCAGCAAGCCGGACAAAATGATGCCGTTCTTCGTGCAGGACATCATGGGTCATCTGGCCGGAATGCCGGGTGTGTTCATCTCCTGCGTGTTTAGTGCCGCCCTTAGTTCGCTTTCGGCAACATTGAACTCCCTGGCCGGAGTGGTGTACTTCGACTACATAAAGCCCCGTATCCGGCACACGGAGGCCCGAGCCAACTGGGCCATGAAGCTGATTGTTGTGGTGATGGGCGGCTACTGCATCCTGGGCGGCTTCATGGTGCAGAACTTCAACTCCATTCTGCAAATGGTGGTCACCATCACCGGTATCAACACGGGCGCTGTGGTGGGGGTGTTCCTGCTCGGGATGTTTGTGCCCCGCTGCAATGCCAAGACGGCTGTAACCAGTATTATTTTCAGTGTAGTCGCCATGGTTTGGGTCATTGCCAATGGGCAGATGAACTTCAAATCCGGTCTGATTAAGTACGAGCCCCTGCCGAATTCGCTGGATCAGTGCGAAGCCCGTGGTCTGCATATGATTGCGGATGTAGTGTGAGTAAACCCGCTGCACCGTTTACAACCAGCTTAGGGCTAAATTGTATTTTCTTAAAACTGCCTCTTATCTTTAGCAACAAGACTGAATTCTCTCCCGTCACAATGAAGCCGCCCTCTGGAGGAGCAGTGACCACAGCCTTCCACAGCGATCGGGAATTCTCCCTTTACGACATCTCTTTCTATTGGTACAAGGTTTTGGGTACCGCTCTGATCTTCCTGTGGGCAGTGCCAATGAGTTACATCTGTAGACCGGATAAACACGAAAAACAGAATCCGAAGATGTACTCGCCCTTCGTGAGAAAGTTCCTCACTCTGCCTGACGCGGATCAGGAACTGGAGGAGGTGCCTCTGCGAGGGGAGATTCCCCACCTCCGGTTAGATCTTGGCGAAAAGGAAAACAAAGCTGGTCTCGAACACTGATCCTTTTTAGGCATGTTAGTTATTTGTAGGCTGAAATATGAACAAGGCGGTTAGGCAAAATAAATAAAACAAAACTAAGAGAAATAACAGCGCTTTTGATAAAGATCTTTAGGAAATATAGGATCAAAGAGCATTGGAAAGTTACAATATTGACTTTTTAATGTAGTATTTTAAAAGCTGAGCTTCCTAGATTACAAAATAGATTTTTAAAAAATATGTATGCATTTTAAGTAATTTTGAATTAAAATTAACAGTTCATATGATAATAATGAGTTTATGGTCATTATATCGATATTTTTAACCTGATTTTAGTTACAAATCATGCAACATTTAAATCAAAAGGTTTCACAATATTGTTTTTAATAAAATTTCAAAAACTGACTCTTACTTTTAGGTAAGAGGGATCCTTAATTTAACAATATTCTTATAATATAAAACATCATTTATTCAAGTTGTTAGCCCCTAAGTCCCTATTTCATCACAATAGCAAACAATTACCAGATTGTCTTGGGGACAACAAAAGGTCAAACTCTATTTTGCATTATATTTAGACTCGAAGATGCGTGCGCAAACCTCTTGCGCTAGTTATTCACGTTTAGATATATACTCCTTCAATATCAATGACAATCATGGCACCCACTGCGTTCAACTTCTGGTGATAATTCGAAAGGGTTGAGGCATTTCGACTTCGATTGATGGATGAGTTGGCACTTTATGAAGGGTATATGATCTCTGGGATTCCGGATACGACTGGTTAGCTCGGCCTGTGCACTGTAAGACAGATTATGAGCGCTCCTTATTTACGATGTGGCTGCTCCGTTTACGACGCGCCTAGACAGATATCGTACCAAGATAAGGGTGGCCAGCCAACTTGAGACGCTACTTAAGAAGAGTGTCCACGAAGCGATCCCCACAAGTGTTCAGCCAGCATCCAGATCCGAAGCTCCTAGGCTTTTGCGATTCGGTTTTTCCCTAATTCGCGATCTCAGGGCCAAAGGACGCCATCGCAAGAATGACCAGCAGTGCCAGCGTTTTGGCCAGTACAGTGGCCACTTCGACGACGGCCGTCCTGGAGGATCTTCGCTTCAGCCTCACGGACTACGTTGTCTTTTCTCTGTTGCTGAGCGCGTCGGCCGGAATCGGGGTGTATTTCGGATTTTTCTCCAAGGCCAAGAATACCACGGAGGAGTACCTTCAAGGTGGCAAGAAGATGCCCACTCTGCCGGTGGCCATTTCCCTGGTCTCGAGGTGACTGTACCGCACATTTTTTTCATTAAATTTCCATGTCGTCACTCCACATTGCCAGTAAAGATATACCAGACACGCCGTGGGCCCATAAAGATAGCGCCATATTACCGGGCCTCCTCTTTTTTATATCTTTCAGCCAACTTTCCGGGGTAGCGATGATGTCCGTTCCGGCAGAGACTTACTCCTTTGGATTCAACATGATGTTCGTAACCTGGGCCATGGTATTGGCAGTTCCTGTCCTTATATATGTCATTGTGCCCGTGTTTTACGATAATAATGTATCAAACTGCTACGAGGTGAGAAAACATTCTTAATGAGTTAGCTTATTAACAATATTAAATTAATAGACACAAAAATGGCCAAATTGATTAGATGATATTATAAAGGGTTCCCAAAAGTATTTTAGTAGCCTTAAATTCAGAATATTTATTTTAAAGTAGCTTCCGAAAGTCGAAATATATTACATATAATCCTTTTTTGATATTTTGTAGTACCTAGAGATGCGATTCAGCAAAAGGACCCGACAACTTGTGACCATTACGTTCATATTCAATCAATTCCTGATGCTTCCAGTATATATGTTTGTTCCATCGCTAGCCTTTTCCCAAGGTATACGCTTTAATCAATTGAGCTAACAAAAATATTCAATTTAAATTAATTTCCATTTGCAGTCACCGGCTACAACATTCACCTGATCAACACGGTAGTTTCGTCCATCTGCGTCTTCTACACGATGCTGGGCGGGATCAAGGCGGTGGTTTGGACCGATGTTGTTCAGGGAGGTGTCATGTTGATCTCAGTAGTTTTGGTGGCCATTTTGGGCACCTCGAATACAGGTGGTTTGGCCAATGTTCTGAAGAATGCTTCTGAGGGCGGTCGTTTGGATATGAAGTAGGTATATTTATAAATTTAAGGTGTTAAACACTGAAATAGTTTGTTAAACAGACTTATAGAACCATTTAATAGTTGTCTAACAAATGTACTTCAATTTATTTTCTTTTAGCTTTGGTTTAGATCCACGCCTGCGTCTAACCTTCATTAGTGCAATGGCGAGCGGGCTTTTAATGTGGACGGGCAAGGTTGGCCTAGACCAGAGCTGCGTTCAGAGAATTGTGTCCATGCCCTCTTATGGGCATGCCAAGAGGTGCCTTGTCATGGCCGGAATCGGTTTCCTGCTTGTCATGTCCTTCACCTGCTTTGCTGGCATCATCATGTTTGCCTACTATTACGGTTGCGATCCTATTCAGGCCGGGGTAATGTTTTTGATCTGCTGCAATAGTTGAACCAATATAAATTTCCCGACTATTATAGCTGGTCACCAAGCCGGACAAGCTGATGCCCTTCTTCATCCAAGACATTATGGGCCATTTGATGGGCATGCCTGGCGTATTTATCTCCTGCGTGTTTAGTGCCTCACTAAGTTCTCTTTCCGCCAGTCTTAACTCCTTCGCCGGAGTGGTCTACTTCGATTACATAAAACCGAGAATAAATCACACGGAAGCCAAAGCCAATGCGACCATGAAAATGGTCATCGTGGCTATGGGAGCCTACTGCATTCTGGGCGGCTTTGTCGTGCAGAACTTCAACTCGATTATCCAGACGATGTGGACAATTACGGGCATCAATATGGGCGCTGTCGTTGGAGTATTTCTTCTGGGTATGTTTGTGCCCCGCTGCAACGCCAAGGTGGCGGTGACTGGGATCGCCTTTAGTGTTCTCGCCATGCTGTGGGTCATTATCAATGGCCAGATGAACTTCAAGTCCGGCCTGATAAAGTACGAACCCCTACCGAATGGACTGGACAGGTGCGAGGCAAGGAATTTCCAGGTCATCTTAAATGCCATGTAAGTAGAGATACCTAAAAGTAAAGTCGACAACAGATGCACTGAAACATCTTTTCCAGAAACCATAACCTGACGAGGATCCCCACCACTCCGATTCCCTCTCTGGAAGCACCTAAGCAAGTGACCACCGCCTTCAATAGCAATCGCGACTTCTCCATCTACGACATTTCCTTCTACTGGTACAAGGTGCTGGGTGCCCTGCTGGTTTTTGTGTGGGCCATCCCTATGAGCTTTGTGTGGCCCTTGGACAAGGACGAGAAGCAGAACCCTAAGCTCTTCTCGCCCTTTGTCCGGAACTGGCTGAACCAGCCAGGTCCCGCGTTGGAGTTGGAGGAGTTGCCTCTGAAGACGCCACTATCCGATGAGCAAATCAAGGACAATGATAAGGGCATTGCAACAGAAGCCTAATCAACACAAATGTAAAGTTGCATTACAATTATTTAATAAACAACATAATAATAAGAGTTCTATTCAAGAGTATTGAATAGGAAACCAAGTTCCCACTGATCACAAAACTGAACTTTCAAATATATAATTAGATAAAAAGATTATAATGTGTGTTTTAGTAGTCAAGTTAACATCTGTCCCCGAAATTTAATATTGTAGTGTTTATGTTTAAAAACAATAAATTGATATAGAGTTTTAATTTATATTAAATTAAAAATGTATTTTTCGTCTGATTTAATATTATCTATCTCAGTGAAATATAGATATCCCTAAGATATTTTTTTCAAATCGTAAAATGTTATTATTCTTGAAACATCGAAATTCCAAATACCACGGGTGAGAAACAAAAACTAATCACACAGATATGCTAAATTATGTCTCTACTAACATTGTTTTTTTATGGTTAGTGTTATACTTTTCCATCTTGTTTTCCTGTGTATTCAACGTAAATTGGCATATCCCCAATTATTAATTGAAATTCTCTGAAAGCTTACATTAAATATAACCACGTAAGGCACTCAAGGGAGATTTGAGATAACAAATTAATCATGATTTGGTCACCAATCCGCTTATGGATTTTGGTCAGAACGTAGTAAAACAAGTTTCATTTCTCTTGTATTTTTTTAAGATTTATTTACAAAAGAATATTCAAATGAAGAATGCCTTATACAGAAGATAAGCTACATACAAAAACGGTCTGACTGATCATTTCAGTTGCAACGGCTTCCAAAACTAATTTACGCTTTTGTTGTAATTAAATGTTATATTATCATTATTATTATTATTATTAGAATTTGTTTTTCCTTTTTTCATTGAAAAATTTAGATCTTTACTCTAGCATGTATGTACGAGTTCAGTTAGGAGTGATCGCCTAGAAGGACATTTACCTAGCCTAGCACAACAGTTTTCAATGAGCTCATCCGTAGTAACCGATTGCAAATCGGCTCTTTAAAAATCGTAGACTAAATGCTTCAAACAAAACGGGCTTGGAATACGTGAAAAATATTAAAAATGTGAAAAGGTTATGCATAGACGTATCTTAAAGTCGTAGTGCATTCTTATTGCGTTACAGTGATAAAATTTTCCGCGCTTTATTTGATTATGTTTTGAGTGTTGTCCAATTGGTTTTAGAATTAAGGATATTATGTCTTACAATTTAAAAACATCTATTTTACATACATTTCCGTCAATGTATAATGTGTTTGATTCCAATTTGATTAATTCAAATCCACATACATATTATATTAGGATGAATTTTACAATCTGGCTGTGTATTTCTGGGAAAGAAGGTGTGGGTGGGTGGGTTGGTTGCTAGGTTTTAGAGACTGGAACTACTGCCTAGTTGTTTTGCTTTTCTGTCTAGCTGACGCACACAGTGCAACATTGAAAGTCCAGCATCGATTGCAGCCTATGGCGTCCCTGGCGTCAACCAATTACTGGAAGACATGAAACTATCATCAAAATTAAGGTATTTTTTGAGTACGAAATCGAGTGATCAATTAAAAAAGAAAATCGTAGCTGTGTGATTTGGGAGAACTCTTAAATGTTTGCATGTAGTTGGCAACATCCAGACCAACTCGGCGGGCGAGCTGAAGATGCTTTTTGTACACATCCGCAACGCGTTGAATTTTTAGATTGTCCATCGGTGGTGGAGTAGGTCTAGTTACAGACCTTTGGCGTTGCATTCTCACCCACTTCGGCGGCACTGTTGACGATCTTGGGCTCACCTGTGAAAAAAGCATGTTGTTTACTCATCCCAAGATTATTAATCAATAATCAATTTTAACTTACCATTAACATTGATTTCGGTCTTCTTAACCTCGCTGACGATCTGCGAGTCCTTGGCAGGACTCTCGGCTGCCTTTGCCAAGCTGACATCTGCTTCCACGGGCTTGCTGACATCATTGGTGGCGGGGGTGGCGGTATCCTCGGCGGCAACGGGCGTAACACTCTCATCCGTAGTGCTCTTTACCTCCTTGGGTTCCACAGAATTTACGATCTCCTTGGGCTCTTTGCTGATGTCGGATTCCTTGGACTCTACCACCGGTATGCTGGACTCCTTGACGTCTTCCGCAGACTCTGCTTCCTTGGCTTCGGAATTGGGTACCTCTGTGGCCAATTCCTCTACATCATTGCTTGATTCTGTTGCCTCGACTGCTACTTCTGGCTCCGGAGCGACGGAAACCTCCTCGGTGGCTGGTGTTTCTACTTGAGCTGTGTCTGAACTGCTTTTCGAACTCGCATCTACCTCCATGGGCTCTGGTGAGGCTTCCTTGACCGGCTCCGTTTGTACCTTTGGCTCCTCCTCAACTGCTGCTGCTACAGGGTCCTCAGGCTTCTTTTCTGATTTCATCTCTGAAACTTTTACAGATTCCTTGACGGCCAAGTGCTCTTCTTCGTCTACATCCATGGCAGAAACAGTGGGAGTGTCTGTGGCGGCCCCGTTCTCAGAAGCATCCTCGCTCGGTTTGGATGGCTCCTTCACTTTTGGCACCTCTTCGGCTGACTTCTCGGGCTCTTCAGTGCTTGTTTTGTCTGCATCGACATGGTTCTGCTTCTGCTCCGAAACTGAGGGCACAGCATCAGGCTGGTCTTCGGTCTCGTCTGGCTTGGTGCCGACTTCATCCTTCGGCTCAGCGACCTCTTCCTCCGCCTCCTCCTCGGGCTCATCTTCCTCAGCCGCCTTTTCCTCCTTCTTAGCCTCCTTCTTTTCCTTCTTGGCAGAGGCCTGAAAAGCGGTTTGTTTGTTAGTTAGCAGTCGAGTGAAAAGCAGGTAATTTGTTGTTTACCTTTCCCGATGCCTGTACCTTTTCCGGCTCTTGTTCGGGCTCACCGCCCACATCCAGTTTGCGTGCCCCGCGCCCCTTTCCAGCGCTGGCCTTTGTTGCCGAGGCTGGGGAGGTGCGCGCCTTCTTGCTGGGCGGCGGCGTCACCGCATCCGTGGCCCTGGTCGGTGTTCCTCGAGTGCTGGACCGCGTCCGCCGTCCCCCTGCCACATCCAGATTGCCGCCCATCGTCCGCACCAGCTCCTCGCTTTCCTGCTGAGCCCGCTCAATGAACGAGCGTCGTTTTGGAGTGCGTTTCTGAAATATAACGAAAAGGAGTTCAATGAACGGTTCAGATAATACAGTTAATACATATGTGGATCGGGTATCTGGTTAGTGGCAGCGATTAGCTGAATCGTTCAATAATTGTTTTTCACAACTTCGTGATTCAGTTTGGTAAGTTTAAATACTAACGATAAGGTCTGCCATTTTTAATGTTATTTTTTTGTCTTATCTCACAAGAAGCACCTCTGGTTTTCTTTTTCTCTCTCTCTCTATCTTTTAAAAGGAATTCTGACCTGTGAAAAGCTTCGGTTACCGTTTTCCAGTAAAACTTTTCCTAGCTGGAAAGCTCAGCCACTGAAATCCCGCCAAAAGTTCAGGCTCCCTCTCAGAATATTTTTCGCGATCGGGAGCGTCTCACGCATCCGCATTAAAGATGAGGGCTCATTTCGTGTTCGCAAAGTGTTTAAAAAAAAATAAAACAATAACAAGGTGTATTTCGGTTGAGCAGTTAAATCTGGTAATCGCGGCTTATTTCAGCAGATATATTTTTTGTGGCAGGTGCAAAAACTTGGTGTGTGTGTGTGTTTACCGGTAAGTGCATTTGAAAAGCACTGGGACTATACGAATATATGTTGAAAGCTAATGTCCTAAAAAAGGTTATCGGTTTTTTAAGTAAAATTAAAAAAAGGATTACAATAAACAGGATAATTACGTACACCCCAGAAGCTCAATATTGTACAAATGTATGCACATACGACGTTATATAAGGAGCAAAGGTTAGTACACCATAGTAAACAATTTATTTCTTAAAATTATACTTTTTTCAATTATTTTTGTTGAAGCAAATGTTCGAATCAGTTTTGGTTATGTGCTCCTTTATGTTTTTACTGTAAAGGTTAACAAGATTTTTCCAATCTATATTTTTTGTTTTATAATTTAAACCAGAATGTTATTTTGTTCTCGAATATAAGAGTGTTTACTGTGCAGAGCGCACACTGTACTATAATTGGCTTTGCCGAATTTCCGCTGCAATTGCGCCCGCATATTCCCGTTTACGGCTGAATTTACACAGACCTATGAAAGAGCCATATAGATATATATATATATATATTTATTGCTGTCGATCGAGGGAGTTGATTCAAACATCTATATCTATTAGTATTGTCGCCTCTAAAAAATGGAAACTAATCTAGAGCGCAACGTATACATACGCAGACACGCAACATGCAAGTGTGTATGACAAAGTACAGCAAACAACAAAAAGTCGAAAAGGGAACCAGCAAAAATAAAAACAAACGAGACGCGGCAGCGGCGGCAAAACGTGAGTGCAAAGAGAAAAAGCCGATTGCCTTTGCCTCTCTCGTCCTCTCTTCTTCTTTTGCCGCCTCTTCTTTAGCGAGTAGCTGCCACACGTATACACACACACACGCACATGATTCTATTAAAAGGGATGGGGGAGGGGGAGTTGGAAAGTGGAAGGGAAAAAGCGCGCGCACACGAGGTATACGTTGGAAAAAAAGAAACGTAAATAGAAAACGGACGCACAAAGAGTAATGCGGAAAATGCACAAAATATACACACACAATTATTTTGGAAAAATACTGCAGATAATTCGGGTAATGCACAGCCCGCCCTTGTTTGTGTGCGTTATCGCCGCGCTATGTTAATTGTTGCTAAATGTGTGTGTTCGGCTACTTACGGGTGTCTTCTTTTCATCCCCCGCCGTTCCCTCCTCGATTTCCACCGCCTCCGGCTTTTGGGCCACAGTTGCCTCCGACATTGTTGTTAAGTAGATGATGTATTAGTATATTCAAGTGTTTCGCAATTGCTATATCTTTGCAAATTGCAGTCTTTGCTGGCGAGTTTACTCCACTCTCTCTCACAGGCGGACACAACTACAATTACAGGTAACTCGACACAGCCACGCTTCGCATACCGTGAACGGGCAACTTTACAAATGCCGATTTTTCAAGTTAGAAAACGGCGATACACCGGCTTTTTTTTAAACTGACTTTGCGCAATGATTTAAGCCAGGTTTTGCAAGTATTCTAAGTGTCTAAAACGCTCGCTTTTCGATTTTTTTAATGCAATTTTAACGCGCCTGCACGGAGTAAACGTAACTAAACTGCTTCTTCCTAGTGCTGCACAGTTTGTGGCGGCGCGGCCTTTTTTGGCCAGTGTTGAGCAGAGTCGGGCGCTCGGGGTGAATGGCAGTCACAGCAGCAGGGTTGTCGGATGTTTTAAGGACTATTTCAATTATATATATATATATATTTGTACATTTCAATTTTGTAAAAATTGGTTTCGAAAGTCTTATATGCTGAGTTGTGATATTTGAACGGTTATAAAAATTAGATATTAGAAGAATATTCATTGATATTTCTATTTTGCTTTTAAAATATCACAGAACCCTACTGTCATTATACCGTTGCAGAGGGTATTGTAATTTCAGTCAGAAGTTTGCATATCCGAAAAAACAAAATTTGACTTCTTTCTTGTTAAAATTAAAAAAATGTTTTTTGACTGAAACGTTAATTTGTGGCAACCCTAAACGCAACAAGCTGTGTTGGCTAACGCTCTGCAGCACTTTCCCCACGCGGGTTCAGTTTTACTTTATTTATAAATCCGCAACCCATCAAAATGGTCTCCCAGCAGCAGATCGAGGCCATCGGAGGAGTCCTGAACAACAAGGATCGCCCGCTAAAGGAGCGTTTTCGGGCTTTGTTTACCCTGAAGAATATAGGAGGGGGAACGGCAATCGAGGCGATCAGCAAAGCCTTTGACGATGAATCAGCGCTGCTCAAACACGAACTGGCCTATTGTTTAGGCCAGATGCAGGATGCCAAAGCTCTAAACATCCTTACCAAGATCCTGAAGGACACCGCTCAGGAGCCGATGGTGCGCCACGAGGCAGCTGAGGCCATGGGAGCCATTGGGCACCCCGATGTGCTGCCCATTCTGGAGGAGTACAAATTGGATCCGGTGGTGGAGGTGGCCGAAACGTGTGCCATCGCTCTGGACCGAGTCCGCTGGCTGCAGAGTGGCCAGAAGGTGGACGACAGCAATCCCTACGCTTCCGTGGACCCTTCACCGCCAACGGCGGGCGACATGAGCGTCGCCGAACTAAAAAGCATCTACCTGGATGCCCAGCAGAGCCTGTTCGATCGCTACAGGGCTATGTTCAGCCTTCGCAATCTGCGCACCGAGGATAGTGTCTTGGCCATCGCCGAAGGACTGAAGGACTCCTCTGCCCTGTTCCGCCACGAGGTGGCCTTCGTCCTCGGCCAGCTGCAGGAGCCCTGCAGCATTCCCTATCTCCAGGAGAACCTGGAGAATCGCCTGGAGAACGAAATGGTGCGCCACGAGTGTGCCGAGGCTCTGGGCGCCATTGCCACAGAGGATTGCATCAAGATCTTGAATCGCTATGCGGAGGACGACAAACGCGTGGTCAAGGAGAGCTGCGTCATCGCCTTGGACATGTGCGAGTACGAGAACAGCCCGGAGTTTCAGTACGCCGATGGGCTGACCAAATTGGACGGGACCAAATGATTTACGCAGCCCATTTGCATCCACCAACTGTATATATTATTTGTAAACATGCATTGTTTTTCACATATTGTGATTGCACGGATCTAATCTTATCTGGACATAAAAAAAATTGAAACGTGACTTTCTGGCGGTTTCACTTTGCCTCCGAGAGGAATGAATAAACTACTGCGGATTCAAAGGAAAAAACTTCAAGGGCAAATTCTTTTGAGATTTTATCATCAGTAAACAATTTTATTACGTTTTGCGTATAGGCAATAGAGAATTTTAAAATTAAAGGTAAATTGAATATCTTAAGTTGTAAAATATTCAAAACATACATATTTGAAAAATAAAAAAAATTCTGGTTTTTTAATTCAATATACAGTTTAAGGTAATGACAAAGTCATGAATACACAATAATTATAAAATAATATATAATTATCACAACCTTAAAATACGCGAAAAGTCCAATTATTCAGTAAACATAGCGATGTGGCAACGCTACGGAAGTAGTAATTAACGACTATGGAGTCATTTTTGTTAAGTGTCTTGTTGCAAATTGAGGTCTTTAACATAAAGATGTCATTTCGAATTTTTACAACGATCGAAAAGACTTACTGCCCTTAAAAATTCCCAAAAATCGAGGAAAACTCATAAAAGCGGTGCAGCAGTGTGACCGCTTGCCAGTTCGCCAGAAATTCACATTGCCGGCGCATTAGACTCAAGATTTTTTTTTGCGACGTATCCATGAAGCTACCGATGCTCGGAACCATCTTGGCATTCTTTTCCGTAATTTTGACGACAATGGCGGCTAACAAGGAGCGTACCTTCATCATGGTCAAGCCTGATGGAGTCCAGCGAGGACTCGTCGGCAAGATCATCGAGCGATTCGAGCAGAAGGGCTTCAAACTGGTTGCCCTGAAGCACACCTGGGTAAGCAGATAATTAAATTAGGAAGAAATCAATATAGACAGCCCCCACGCGGGGTTATCTTCGACCCTAACCTCAAAGGTTACCGGAATGACAAGTGCTTTAGAGGTCAAAAATGCAATTAACTGATAACAAACGAACCCCTGTTTTATAACTAGGCCTCCAAGGAGCTGCTGGAGAAGCACTACGCCGATCTGTCCGCCCGTCCCTTCTTCCCCGGACTTGTTAACTACATGAACTCCGGCCCCGTGGTGCCCATGGTATGGGAGGGTCTTAACGTGGTCAAGACCGGTCGTCAGATGCTTGGCGCCACCAACCCCGCCGACTCCCTGCCCGGCACCATCCGCGGCGACTTCTGCATCCAGGTTGGTCGCAACATCATCCACGGCTCCGATGCCGTCGAGTCCGCTGAGAAGGAGATTGCCCTGTGGTTCAACGAGAAGGAGCTGGTCACCTGGACCCCGGCCGCCAACGACTGGATCTACGAATAGGCGAATAGGGTGTCTCCATCGCTTGTCAAAGCTCATCTTAACTGAATACAGAAATTCTTCTAAAGAATAAAATTCCACGATAATTAGTAAAGAAACTTCGTCGTTTAAAGAACGTGTTGGTTATGGTTCTATAATACATTAATCTATAAGAACATAATTATTGAGTCGTTGGTTTGTGTGAGTAGCAATCTAATTATGGAGTTTATAGAAATTATTGTCGTTTGATTCCGTTTATTGGTAAAACATATGTTAAGTTTCAAAAATGTAGGCGGCCCACTGAGATATTGGCTTTATGAGAGGTAAAACCCATCCTGTGGGAACACAGGAACCTCTCTCTCCAAGGCTTACGTAAGAGTCCCAGGTGGACCTTCCAAAAAAGGTTATTTATTAAAAGCAGAGTCGAAGGATGTACATCTAGAAGTCTTACCGAATCTCCAGGAACCTTTTCTTATTCTCCCTTAACAAATTTGAAGGTTTGCCAAAGAAGACTGCCTCCCATTGGGGTTCTATAGAGGCAGCCATCTTGGACTCTTTGACATGGTCGTCGCCTTTACTCTCCTCCTGGACCCGTCTCCAAACGTGTCGCATTTGGGCCAGTTTTTGGCTAAGAGCCCTCGAATCTCCTCCCCGAGATTCGCATAGTTTTTCCAAAAGATCAAAGTTTTCCAAAATGTAGACTGCATCATGTTGTTTTCGCAGGGAGATGTGCTCCGCTTGTTTCTCTTTGGAATTTCGCGGGGGAATTACGGAATATTTCCGTTCTTTAAGCAAAAGTTCTTCTGGTTTTTTGATTTCACATTTTGCTCGCTTATTCTTTTGTTTATCTAAGAGTCGCCGGCGTTTTCTCTGTGTTTGTAAGCTGGCTACTTTTTGGATCGGCACTTGGTCAAGTTCATCCAGAAGGGTTGTCGTGTTGCGCTGCAGTTCCTCCACCTGTTCCACATTGAAGTCATGCTCTACTTCACTCAGATTCTGGAGTTGTTGTAAATTCGCTATGACATGCCGAATTTTTGTTTTAATTTTAGTTAATTTATTGTTTTGGTGCGGCATTTTGTTGGAACTGTGTTGGTAAACGCCAAACTGCGTAACTGTGTATTTTTTTTTTTTATTTTCATAAAATGTATTTATCTGAAGAAACAAATATCATAACTGCTTTTAAAAGTTCAAAACCTTTTCACACAGGTTTTTAACTTTTAAAAATACATACAAATTCAATTAGGATTGAACTGTATTTAAAGAATAAATGTGAGAAATCGCTTGCTAGCCAACAGCTGATCTTTTATTTACTTGTATCAAAACAAGATTATTGGGTATTAAATTGAATAATACTTATGGCTTTGAGGTCGCTCTGCAGCTCAGAATTTTAAAATGACCTTTTGCCTTCAGGAATTTGTAATTATTGCGTGTATATGAAAAAAAAAAACATTTGCTGCAATTAGATCTCCAGTTCCAATTTGGCTGCTTTTAGGATTTCAGCGGCCTTAGTGTATGCCTCCGTCTCCTTGAGATCCTGCTCATCAGAGAGGTACTTTTCTAAGATCTCAAACTCCTTTTGCAGTCTGTAAAGGAAATTTTATGTTATTCATTTAAAAAAGGAATTTAAAAGCACTAAACCTTCTCTTAGAGTCCGGCACCATCATTATGCACTCCTGGATGACTTCCTCCTGCTTTCGCAGCACATGTTCGTCTGCTCCCTCGCCCCTGAACTTTTCCATCCTGGACTGCTCTATAATAACTTCTTTTGCATAGCAGGATTTTTCTTTGGTCAACCGCCTGACGACTCCCGATTTAATAACAAGCTGTCGGATGCGTGGATCTGCCATTTTTGTGATGCTTTCTCTTCGTTTTAAGGTGGACTAAAAATAGTAGAGCTCGGATGCGGTGTTCTTGGTCGGAGTCACAGTTATTTAAACGAAATTGCGAACAGCCGGCTGAGATTCTGTATAATTTGCCGTGCTTTGTTGTTTTTATACGGGGCGCCTAGTGAGTCAGAACCAGAGTTGCCATCTTCACCAATTGAACTAGACTAAATGAACCAAAGTGAACCGCTTAAAATTAAAAGATTACTTATTATAGCTTGGCGATTTCCACGTATGCGAGAGCGGCCAAATAATTCCACTGCACTTACGGGTGTTGCGGCTACTTAAATCACAAAAAAAAAGATTACTTATTTATTGGTAGTTACATTTATATAAATTTTAATTTTGATTTAAAAAAATCGATTTAAAAAAAATTTAAAAATTAATAAATTTTTCAAAATAGTGATTTAAATTTACGAGTGCCAAAAGAACAAGCCACAAACTAAAACTGATAAAGTATTAAGTTTAGTAAAACTCATTAAATGACCTCTTAATGAAAGTCATAGATGTGGTATTTTACGGTTAAGCTTCCTTTATTTTTCTCATCATTTAAAAGATCTTGTATCAAGCAACATGTTCTGTATCCAAGAGTTATGGTGTCGGTTACAATTTTTTTTAATTTGTATAAATTCAGAGTGTGAGAGAGTAACGTGTATTATATGCTGGTTATGGGCAATGCAATGACATGTGGTTAACGTATATAATGTAGTATGCAAATGCAAATGAGGCTCGATCGAACATTTAAAATGTCTTCAAAAACCGCATGATTATGTGTGTTATATTGATTCCTTTGTTTTTAATACTTCTTAAGCATTTGTCTTTTGGTTTCAAGAGAAATTTTGAATTCATTGCGAATGTAGTCTTTTTCTTTTAGGGGATTTTTGGTTTTTAAAGTGTAGGCGTGGTTTAAAACTAAATTCGGAAATTACATTGTATAATAGATTTTAAATCGAATGCCTCCGACTTGACTTATCAAAAGTATAAAAAGTGTTTAAAATCCATTCGAAACAGGTGGATGATGCACGACCGGATGTGTGGCTGCTAATCAAATTTAAGGTTAGTTCGTAGGTGAGTATATATCGAGGAGGTAGGAGACTACAGAAGGACTCCGAAGGACCCAGCCCACTCCCAGTCGTCGGTGGTGCTAGGTTTCCTGCGGAAGGACTTGCGATGGCGATACAAGTTCAGATAGCTGCAGTAGACCAATAGGGTGAAGGGGGCTAAAGCCGAACCGGGGAGCTGGAAGGAGCCCTCTTTGCTGGCATCCTTGCTGCAGCTCTTGTCCTCGCTAATCGTACTTTTGGTTATTATGTAGGGTAGTATTTGCTCGATATCATATAATATTTGCCACTGGCGGCAGCTGGTAATAGTAGTAATTGGTGTCTTGGTTGCCACGGAGCTAAGGTTTGCGTTCGATCGTCGAGTGGATATTATAATTTTGACATGTGTGTTGTTGGTTTGTGTTGTTGTTGCTCTAGCCGTCTGCTGTTGTTGTTCTTGATGTTGTTGTTGGGTTCGAGTGATGTCGTAGTTCTGCTGGCACCCTAGTTATTTCTTCTTCTGTGCCTTCTCAGCGGCTTTTGTCACCTTGCCCGAGGTCGTCTCTTTAAAGTTGACCGACTTGATGACGCCAACGGCGACAGTTTGGCGCATGTCGCGAACTGCGAACCGCCCCAGCGGTGGGAACTCCTGGAAGCTCTCGACGCATAGCGGCTTGCTGGGCACCAGCACAATAATTGCCGCATCCCCGGACTTGATGGCCTTCGGGTCCGTCTCGGTGGTCTTTCCCGTGCGACGGTCACACTTCTCCTTGATCTCGGCAAACTTGCAGGCAATGTGGGCCGTGTGGCAATCCAAGACGGGAGTGTAGCCATTGGCTATCTGGCCCGGATGGTTCAGCACAATTACCTATGAGATTAAACCAAGAAAGGGAAAGGTTTTAAAAAAGGTTTAATATTCAAGAAATCATTCTTAAATAGAGAAAGTGCTTCTAAAATCCCTTGATTGACCTACCTGAGCGGTGAAGTCGGCTGCTCCCCTGGGAGGATTGTTCTTCGAATCGCCAGCCACATACCCGCGACGCAACTCCTTAACGGACACGTTCTTTACGTTGAATCCGACGTTGTCGCCGGGCATAGCCTCCGTGAGCGCTTCGTGATGCATCTCGACCGATTTAACCTCAGTGACCAGGTTGACCGGAGCAAAGTTGACAACCATTCCTGCAACGAGTCCGGATACAAAGCAAGCGAACAGATTTACACAGGGTTTCACATCCTAAGTAACTACACGGAAAGATTTTGCAAACTATCTTCGGAAATTTGACCAGCTAAAAAAAATATATTTTAATATTTCAATATTAAAACATTAAAATAGTTAACTGATCAGATAATCTTATACTGGCCCAATTTTCCAGAACTTCAATAAAATTGTACAAAATTAAAAAAAAATTTATTGTATCTTCTTCCTAAGATATGCTTTACCAACAACTTGGGTTTAATTTTTCCTATAATTATTGAAATTAGTTTAAAAATTATTTATTTACAAACAATACTATACAAACTATTTAGACAATAGTACTTCAAACGGAATCCGTTGTTTCCAGTTTATGTAGTTATTTTTTTTGGTTAATATTTATGTTCATGTTGCCTGATATTTGTTATCTTTAAAATTGAAAATGGAAGTTTTTTTTATGCTGTACTTCGTTTCAGTTGTATCTATCTTTATTGCCGTTTTTTTAAAGTTATTTAATTGAAAATAATATTAAACTTCAAAAACGAACTGAATCTTTAAATTTTTTTTGGGATTCAAGATATAAATGTTTCAATTGGTTCACTTTCAAAGTGAATATGGAAGCTATGCTCAAGAAGTTTCCCCAAGTGCATGGGGGTGAAGCGCCCCGCTCGCGACTGCGAAGTCGCTCAATAATGCATACATGCGCAAGACTTCGTGGCGAGTCGGTGGCAGTGGGAGTGGCCGCCCACTGCCGACCCAAATTCCACAGAGTACATGAATGAAATAATCAGAGAGGGCAGGAAACCAAGTCTTCACTTCAGACAAGGGGAACACCAATCAGAAGGAGAACGGCAAAAGCAGATTTACCTGGCTTAAGGAGACCGGTCTCCACGCGACCCACTGGTACGGTGCCGATGCCTCCGATCTTGTAGACATCCTGAAGCGGCAGCCGGAGTGGCTTGTCGGTGGGACGCTGCGGCGGCAGGATTGCGTCCAGCGCGTCGATCAAGCACTTGCCCTCCGCCTTGCCCTCCTTGCGTTCCACGGACCATCCCTTGAACCACGGCATTTTCTCGGAAGGCTCCAGCATATTGTCCCCGTGCCATCCAGAGATGGGCACAAAGGCCACCGAGGCCGGATTGTAGCCAATCTTTTTGATGTACGAGGACACTTCCTTCTTGATCTCCTCATAACGAGCCTCGCTGTATGGCGGTTCGGTAGAATCCATCTTGTTGACGCCAACGATCAACTGCTTCACGCCCAGCGTGAAGGCCAAAAGGGCGTGCTCACGGGTCTGACCGTTCTTGGAGATCCCGGCCTCGAACTCTCCGGTTCCGGCGGCTACAATCAGAACCGCACAATCGGCTTGCGAGGTACCGGTGATCATGTTCTTGATGAAATCCCTATGACCGGGCGCATCGATGATGGTCACATAGTACTTGGCCGTCTCGAACTTCCACAGGGCAATATCGATGGTGATGCCGCGTTCCCGCTCCGCCTTCAGCTTGTCCAGCACCCATGCGTACTTGAAGGAGCCCTTTCCCATCTCCTGCGCCTCCTTCTCAAACTTTTCGATCGTACGCTTGTCGATTCCGCCGCATTTGTAGATCAGATGGCCGGTGGTGGTCGACTTGCCGGAGTCCACATGGCCAATCACCACAATGTTAATATGGATCTTCTCTTTGCCCATCTTCACAGATTAAGCCTTTTTCTATAGAGGTTTAGGGGAGACACGAACGGTTGAAGAAGTATTTTGATGAGCATTTCTTGGTGTATTAAAACCAGAAGCATGTGAATTGTGAGCCTTAGTTTTGTGGGTGGTGCAGACAAGTGACGAATGTATGCTGTGGGTGGGGGTCGTGTCATCGTGGTGTAGACACCAAATGCCCATTGCATACACACATGCACAGATGAACACCGAGGAAAAACCAGGACAAGTTCATTTACATTTTTAAAAACGCATCGTTGAACAAATATTAATTTTGCTTATAAAAAAAAACACGGAATTATGATATAAAAATAAATCAAGTCAATTTTAAAAAATAATAGGTCATTAAAAACAGGAAGCTCGAAGTAATTAAAATATAAAATTATTGAAATATGGTAATTTTCATTGACTAAAACTAAAAATACTGGAAATAAATGTTTGAAAGCAACATTTTAGGTATTTTCGAAACAATATTAATTTTATTTAAATCGAATTTATTTCAGTGTTTTTAAAAAATTCTTTTTGATACACAGAAATCAAATTCGTTTTTTGAAAAAAAAGGCTTTTCTTGCCTGTGTCCAAAAAAGTCTGCATCATTACCGGTGAATTATAGAAAAAGAAACTTACCTGTTTTAACTCGGATTTCAAGAGCTGGTCACTGGCGATGCTGAGCTTTTAAAAACTGATCACAAAACCACTCGACGTTAAATCCTAGATATTAAAAAAAAAAAAATAAGAAAAAATTCAGTAAGATATAAAAGATAGTTCAAAGAATAATGATAGATTTTCGTACTCTGCTGCCGGTCAAACAACCAGGCCAAGTGTCCGTCGGTTAAAGACTGCCGTATATATCTCTCCGCCGATTTGCACCGGGCGAAAAATCAATAACGAGCCCCAGACAGAAACGAATCGAGCCGAAGTCTGCGAGCTCTGAGAAAAATGCACTCTCCAGCAAACGAGGATTCAACCGGAGAGAAACCCCCACCCAAAGGATGAAATCCCGGGGAAATGTGGAAAACATTGCAACTGCCGGCCGGCCGGCTTATTTTGGGGGGAAAACCCAATAAGATAAATATACAATTGGCTTTTCTTAAAGGCAAAATGTCAAAATTACAAAATTTCGCACTTTCGCTACATGGTGAAAAAGAAAATCAATGGCCAGAAGCATCGGCATTCGGCGACATTCGTGCGACTGAAAATTCGCGATTCCAAAGGGTGAAAAACTGCAGAGAACGAGACGGGAAGAGCGGACAGGAAAGAGATGGCGAATGGCTGCTGATTGCACTTGCTGTTTCTGCAGAAAGAGACGGAGATGGAGAGCTGCAGGGCGTTGTGATTTATTTTCTACCCCAGTGACAATTTTACTTGCCGATTTTCCCGCATGTTATTTTTAAATCTCTGTATTTGCATCGAAGTGCAAATTGCAAGAAAGAAAGAAAAGCAAAGGAAAAGAAGAATATGTAAAAATACTTTGGCAGACATGCAGGGCAGGAAAAATAATCTGCCGAGCATGTGTCATGCTGCAATTTTAATATTCTTGCAACGAATTTCAATAGAAAACTGCGAATAAACAGTGTGGGAAGGGAATATAAAACGGCAATAATCCAGGCGAAATCGAACACGCACACACATGCAGTCTGTCGCCATGTTGGAATTTAAAAGTCTCCTTGATTGGTTTAATTTACTTGGTTTTTAGAGGCGCTGAAAAGTCGAATATCCAAATCGGATCGATTAACGCTGCCCAGCCCACCGTTATTTCCATGCGGCTATTATGCAAAACGTCATGGGAAACCGGCCGGCAATGCACAGCACACACACACGCGAAACATTCAATTAAATGGTTGGAAAATCGAAGAAATTCCACTTTATTATGCGGAAAATTAAATCTGAGACTTTCTTCATCGACACTTGCAAAACCAATCGATGCCTATTAGTATTGACAAATTAAAAGGATTTTACGGGAGCTCTGCGTGCACTTACCTCGAAATCACAAAACGGAAAGACCGAGAAAGCGCCCGACTCCGAGCTGAACGGAGCCGAACCGATTCCGATTTAGAGATGGACTAGGATCTTGTGCTAAATCGCGAAACTGGGATGGATTCAATATTTTTATTGTGTTGTAGGCCATAGATATATGGCTGTTTTTTTGATGTTTTAAATAAGAAAATTATACATTGACCGAAACTAAAATTGCATTATTGTTAGGGAGTTTAAGGGCTTGTAAAATCACTGAGCTAATTCGTCAAGCTCTCACTCCTTAAAATATTAGCTATTTGCTAAGCAATCACAATTGTTAAAAATTATATTAATTTTGAATATTTTAATTTATCTGCGAATGCAAGCCCAGCGCCCATCTCTAATCTACTTGCAAAATTACGACTGCAATTTGTTCGCGTTGGAGTAAGATGACAGGCTGCCTTCCTCTTTCTTCTCTTTTTATCATACTACAAAACGGAAATTTAAAAAACTATAAATTAACGCCAAAAGGACTGACACATTATTGGCTTTGTAAAAAGCTATCAAAATTTTATATTTAAAGCACATTCTATATTTTTACAGATCATTTGCTTGAAAAACTTCCACATAAAAAATAGAAGTGGGTTTTGTCCTTGAATATAATATAAATTAATATTATAAATACATAAATAACATTTAATACAGCCGCCGTAGAACATTTATTGCGAAAACAAAAAACTTGTCAGCCATATTATTTACAAGGAGTAGTCTATTTGAGTTTACTTGCTTTTTTCTGTGTATTTAAGGAATTATGATAAGGCTAAATATAACAAATATTAGCATATGAATCCAAAATAATTAAGTTATATTATCGGTCGAAAGCATTTATTTCCATTCACTGTCCGACTCGTACTCTTCCCAATCCGGTTTCACGCCCACGGGGAGCTTTTTCTGCTCCAGGTACACGTTGAACTGCTCCGGAATGGACATGAACCTGCGAATTTTCAGTCGGAATTGCCTCCAGGTCCATTGACCAAAGTTCTTTCGATCGGCGACCATGGCCTTGTAGTTGAATTTGTGCTTGTTAAGGAAGTAGGACAGCTCCTTGACCACACCCTTGGGTAATCTGAGTAGATTTAACTTACTAGGAGACGGTTTCAAAAGGGAGAGTCACGACATTACCTGAATTCCGGATCTGCACGTTCGCTGGCCAATTGCTCCAGTTCCTGGACTACATGTCCTCGTTTTGGACCCTCCTCCACGACTGGCTTCTTGATGCCCAGTGCTCGGCGCTCATCCTCATCCAGTTCCTCCTCCAGAAATCCATTCAATACTCTCGCAGCCAGGAGACGATCCTTCTTGTAGCTAGGAATCGCAATGGCTTTGTTGACATCCTTGGCCAATCCCATTTCGCTGAAGTTGGTGCCCACGCGCTGGTCCTCCATCCACATCTTCTTCATCCTGGGACTGGAGAACATAGAATTGTATTAAAATAAAAAGTAAAATCGTATAAAAAGCTATACATATCTTGATTTATAAGCAAATGCAATTAAAGCACCCATTGCGGAAGGCGGCTTGAAGTCCCCACTTACTCCTTGATTTTTCCCGTAGAACTACGTGTTTTGTTCAGCGTTTTGCGATTTACATTGTAGCGGTAACGCTTGCGGGCGTGATTCTTGCGGATCTTCATTGTTAAACTGTTAAATTACTAAATTCCAACACTTCCTTATGAGATGTATTAAACCAAAACAACTTTAAACCGCACGTGTTGCAGCTGATTAGAGTGACATAGGCTTCAAAATACCAAAAAACACACCAAACAAGAGTCTAGTATTTAAATACCGAACTAGCTAGAGATGACATACCGGCAAGGCAAATAAAATCGATAACAATAGCCTCGACTCCTACGAAACCGCTTATATCTTGTTTATATCTGTAATAAAACATAAACATAATAAAAATCCACCATGCGCGATGAGATTTTGGACCCCAGTAACCTGGTGAAGAACAGGGAAATCCTTTACCGCCTGATGATCAGGTGGGTGAAGCCTAAATACTGGTGTATTTGTATTACAATTTTCAGGCCTTTCCCACAGTCAACTGATGTACGATGGCTTGGAGAAGTTCGCCATGGAGCTGTCCATGCTGGTCAAGGCGGATCAGTGTGCTCCGAGTGAACGCCTGTTGCACGTCATGATTTCCGGAATGCAGACACTGAGCGATAAGGACAAGGCCCATTCGGATGACGTCCTGCCCGGAATAGACCTGGAATTCGAGCCGGAGGCCTCAGCCTTGGCCCCGGAACCCCACTCTTACGAAACGGCCTATGTGACCTCGCACAAACAGGCCTGTCGCGCCGGCGCCTTCAGTTACGATGGATCGCTGGTGGCCACCGGAAGTGTGGATGCCAGCATCAAGATTCTGGATGTGGAGCGTATGCTGGCCAAGTCTGCACCCGAAGACATTGAGCCGGGAAGGGAACAACAGGGTCACCCGGTCATTCGCACGCTCTATGATCACACTGACGAGGTGTCCTATCTGGAGTTCCACCCCAAGGAGCACATCCTGGCCTCTGCCTCGCGCGATGGCACTGTCAAGCTGTTTGACATCGCCAAACCTTCGGTAAAGAAGGCCCACAAAGTGTTCACCGACTGCGAACCCGTCTTGTGCTTATCCTTCCATCCCACGGGTGACTACGTGGCCATCGGTACGGAGCACAATGTGCTAAGGGTGTATGATGTGCACACCACGCAGTGCTTCGTCAGTGCCATACCCTCCCAGCAGCACAAGGCGGGCGTTACCTGTGTGAAGTATTCGCCGACGGGAAAACTCTACGCCACTGGCAGCTACGATGGAGACATCAAGATTTGGGATGGAATCAGCGGGCGATGCATTAACACCATTGCCGAGGCTCACGGAGGAGCAGCCATCTGCTCGCTGGAGTTCACCAGAAATGGAAAGGTAAGAGCACTTTAACACTACAACGATCTTGATGAGGCCAATTTAAAACGCAATCCTATTAGTACCTCCTATCCTCCGGTATGGACTCCTTGGTTTACCTTTGGGAGCTGTGCACCAGTCGTCCCATCCAGACATACACGGGTGCCGGAACCACCGGCAAGCAGGAGCACCAAACGGAGGCCGTGTTTAACCACACCGAGGACTACGTGCTCTTCCCCGACGAGGCCACTACGTCGCTGTGCTCCTGGAACTCACGTAATGGCTGCCGATTGACGCTTAATTCGCTTGGACACAACGGACCTGTGCGCTATATCACGCACTCACCCAATGCGCCTGCATTTCTCACCTGCTCCGATGACTTTCGGGCACGTTTCTGGTACCGAAGGGCCAATAATCAGTAAATTAAGAAGGCTTGCAAATTCAAATAAAATATTTAAGATTCAAAACTCATGACTTTGATATTGGCAGTAGATAGTTACTCGGCCTAATATATTGTCCCCAATTGTACTATGCTCTTAAAATATATAAAATTAAGGAGTCCTAAGGTTTAACTAGAAATTCATTTCTTAGTTCAAAACCAATTCAGATGTTTACAAATTTATTGGTCTTACCAAATTGGCATTACAATTTCTGACGACTTTTGGTTTATTTTTTTTTTTAACATTTTTAAGTTTGCAATTTTCTAAAGTTCTAATGACATGATGGTGATCCAAAACGGCATTTTTAGAGCTCATAACTTAAGCTTCTCAATTTCGAAGTGTTAAACATTAGATCTTGTCAAATAAATCAATTTAAAAACCATTTCAGTAAATTTCACTTTATTCAATTAACTCGCTTTTGTTTTTTTTCATGAACGTAAGCTTAAATTCGCAACTATAATATCTAGTGATTGAGCCCATTAGTTTTAAGTCGTAGTTGTTGCGTTAAGTAAAATGTTGAAATTGTATTACTTAATACCAGATTGGGATTTCATATAAATATCAGTTAATTTCTTCACTGGAAGTCCGTTGCGCATTTTGTTGTCCGTTGAAACATGCATAGATTGCCTTAAGACTACGCCTAGATCCTAGTTAAGTGGTCTTAAGTTAGTTATTAAGTTTACAACACTTTGTGGGGCCGCAGAACCGCACTATCGTGTTTATTAGCGGCCGCCAACTTGTTTTGATGATTGCACAAATAGCCAATACATATGATTCCAGCTTGTTGCCAAGGAAATGAACAAAATTATACTACGGACTTTGAGTATTAAACAAATCTATATATATGTAATATATGCATAGCTATTATATACAACAAAATAATAAACAAAGTTCTACATAAAAAGGTTCAACAAAATCACAAGGGGAAATGAAAAGTTCTAAAAGTTTGCACTACGGATACTTTGGCGATCCAGTAGGCCGCCAGTCGAATTGTGTATAATTAAAGCCGAAAGTCGTTAAAGTTCGCTGAACTGTGTGCGCGTTGCTTATTGGGAAAAGCTTATGATCTAGATAAAATTAAATACTATTATTGCTTAAATTAGGCTTTCTGGACGGAGCAGGTGCTAGTTATAATATTGCTTATGGGTTTACATTATCTAGCTTACTGAATTTAACTAAAAAATTGTTTTGAGTCTGGTGTTTTTGAGTGCCACGCGATTGCTTATGTAGATATATAAAGTCTTCTATAGTTCAGAGCTCGCTGCTTAAGGTATAACGTGGTTGTGCGTTCGTAGCCCCCTAGTTACTCTACTATCCTGCCAAGTCTTTACGTTGCTGTTTGTGCGGTGGTTGCCAGTGCCAAGGACTTGCCCTCCGCCACCGCACAGGAGGTGGGCGGATTGGGCGAGGGCGACGGCGAGATCTGTATCTCATTCTTGATGATGACATCCTGCTGCAGACTGAGCATGGCGGCCGCAGCTGCCGCTGGATTCGAGGCCTCAAAACCGCCATCACTAAGTTCAGCCTCCTGATCCCCCTGCTCGAAATCTTCGCTTTCCAGTTTTACATCCGGCAGCAGCAGTGAACTCTCCTCCTGGCTGTCAAAGGAGGTGTTCTGCTGCTCCAGCTGCTCTGCCAACTGCCTCTGGTAATGGGCCTGCTCCTGCTGCTGCTGATAAATCGTGGCATGCATGTCTCCAGCAGCTGCTGCACTGATCAAGTATTTTAGAGGACTAAAGGCCCCGATGTCCTTGGGTGGCGTGAAATTCTCGTGCGTCATCTTCAGGTGGTTCTTCATCTTGTCCGGCCGCGAGAACTCTTTGGAGCACACGGGACACGGGAAGACCTTGCGATGCTTGCCCTCGTGATAAAGAAAGGCGTGCCGTTGAAAACTGTACTTGTTCTTAAAGGTCTTCTGCATGTTCTCTTTGGCGCATTCGGTGCAGCGATAGACGCCTTCCACCACGCTGGCATATCGGAAGAGATCCAATCCCCGCACGGACATCTCCGTCAGATGCTCCGCCTGGTCGTCCAGCGTGGACTGGGCCTTGCGACGAACTCTTCTTCGTTGAATGGGTCGCTTGGCGCCTTTTTTTCCACTTCTAGATGTCGGTGGCGGACCTGCCGTTGGTGTCTCCGTGGCAGGGGCATCTTCTTGCGAGGGTGTGGCATCCGTTTCAATACTCTGATAACCTGGTAAACCTGCATTTTCATCAGCCAGGGTCAGCATCTCGTGATCGGGCTCATCGCTTTTGTCCTGCTGTTCATTTATACATATCAGGTCCATGTCATCATCCAAAAATTGCCCACCACTCGAAGGAGATTCCTGCTGTTTGTGCGGGTGTTGGTAATAATCGGACTTGAGCATGGAGTTATTGGCCGCCATGTGGAGCAGCAATTGGTGATGCAGGTGGTTGCTACTGCTGTTGGCCACCTGCGCCGCCTGCTGTTCGGCGGCATTGGCTAGGGATTGAAGTCCAATGCAGGCGTTGACCTCATCTTGGTTTTTCTTCGGCATCTCCTTGGCCAGTTCCTCTTCATTTAAGGTGGTGCTGGGAGCCACTGGCCCCGTTATCCGGGTGCTTGGGGGCACTTCGGGATCCTTGGCCCCGCCACGAAGCTGTTGCTTAAGCAGCGAGTTGCAATTGTTGCTTCCTGCTACCTGCTTGATCTTGGGTTTTGATTTTGTGGGCGTTTGAGGCGATGACGGCTGGGTGGGATTTGTGGTGTTAATGGCGCGAATTTTTAGACCCAAAATAGTGGGAAGGTGAACTGGAGTTGTGTCCCGATTTTCGCTGATCTCCAGCAATGAAATAGGTTCTGTGTTGGTGGTGTTGATGCCGCCCGCTGCTGTTGCAGAAATTGTAGTCGAGGAGGAGCCGAAGAGTCTTTGCGAGAGCTCCGGAGTGGCCTGAATAGAAGTCACTGCAAACAGAGAAATTGAAAATACATTAAGAACTAGATATTTCGTTTCATTTAATAGCCACCAAGGAACACATTGTCGACGTTGCGTTACATTTTTTGAAGTCCCTTGATCTTTATAAAATTTAAATGTATTTATTATAAAATTAATTGAAAAATGTAAAAATGAGTAAGAGCAACAAAGTTATTATTTTTATAGTCTTGAAGAAGAGCTCCATTCAGATAGCTTCAAAACTAAGACTTTTATTATAAATTATAATTATGTTTACTTTATGCTCACTAATATTAGCTTCATAACAACTATTGTTGCTGGTTTCTATTTGTAGTTACACTTTTTCGACGATTCCGACGAAACATTTTCAATCTTTCGTCGGGTTTCGGATTTTACGCGGGAACTGTGTGGGTGAGCGGGTGGTTTTTTCTAACAAATTGACCGAAATCCATACATTTATAAAGATTTCCCAATTTTTATGATTTCAATAAAAATAGTATTAGATCAAGAAATTAAATGTTAAATCTGCAAATTTTAGTTATTTAAAAACTCGTACCAAAAATTTAACCAAGTACCTCGACATTGAAACATAAATAAAAAACAATCAATTTTGTGGTTCAGAACTGATTTTGTTTTAGGTGTTTTTTGCATTGTGTGTTTTATTTTTCTTCTGTTGGTCAGTTTTAAACGATATAATATATAAATGTTCTGCTTGATTAATATTGCGTGTGATTTACTATTTAGTAATTATTTAGTAATTATATCGTAGTGTGTGTCTCGTAATTAGCTAATTTAAACGGAAACCATGTTTACCAACAATTCCAGACAATTTTCTCATTTTCACATGGAAGTTTTGCCTTGCATTACGATTCTTATTTTTCATTTTCTTTGGGCATCAAAGCATGACTCTCTATTATGTAGCTATATTCCTTTTTCAGGTTTCGAGTTTGGACATTTTTGTTTGAAAGCGAGAAAATTGCTGAAGGTGTATAGTTGCTGAATGCAAAAATATATGTAAATATATATTCATATAAAAAAGTAGTCTAAAAATAAAGTAAAATATAGTACAAACAGTGTACACACAAATAAATATGCATGGTGTGTTTGATTGATTCTTTAAAATAACGCCAAAAGAGAAAATTGGACCGATTGGGTGGAAATATATATTTACGATGGTTATTAGTTGGTGTTTTGGAGACGGCGGCTTACTAACTAAATTGCACTAGCTACCACTATATAAAGAATTAAAAACAAAAATTATTTAATAAGTTAGCGTACGCAGCTTTTTTATTATTTGATTGCGCTTAATTTTGTTTCAGTTTTTTTTTCTGTCAGTTTTCTTATGCAGTTTTGGGTTTTTTTTTCTAGAATTGCGACAAATTTAAACCTTTCACATAACTTGAGGAATTACTTGTTGTCTACTTTTCAAGTGCTTTATTTTGTTTGGAGATCGTTTCGTATTAACAACAATATTTTGCCTTTTTACACTCTGTTTTCTGTGGTCTGCTGATGCTGCTGTGTTCTTACTGTTGGAATTTAACTGCATTTGTTTAGCTTTTCTTTTTGTTTTTGTTTTTCATTCTCATTTTCTTTGGCGATAATTTAAGCCTCCGATATACAACATAAATCGTTTAATAGATGATAAATTATGTTTACTTTATGCTCACTAATATTAGCTTCATCATAACAACTATTGTTGCTGGTTTCTATTTGTAGTTACACTTTTTCGACGATTCCGACGAAACATTTTCAATCTTTCGCCGGGTTTCGGATTTTACGCGGGAACTGTGTGGGTGAGCGGGTGGTTTTTGAGGGTGTGGACGGGTGCTGGGGGTCAAACGACCTTGGCCCAGACCCGGTTTAACTTTTAACTAGCTTCATTTGAAGGCAACAAGGTAGATCTGCGCTTCTCTCGCATGATTAACATTACATAGATTCTCCTCCTTCTCCGTTTTTAGATTTCGGCTTGCGATATTTGCATAGCATTAATATTAGCGTATCGAACATAGGAATAAGATAAATTAATTAATAGAACTTAGTCTAGACATACCATTCAATGTTTTTATATATTATGTATATAATTATGTATAACATATCTGTGTGTATATATAGTTTAATTATCTAAAAGTGCAGGTTTAGATTAGGTTTTTAGTGTAACTCATGTCCGGGGATACACTTCGCTTATAAGGCCGCTCTGGTGTCCAATAAAAAGGCAACCTAATGGATGGGTTTGTAAAGTTTCAGCCACAAATATGAATTGATTTTGGGTCCTGGACTACGCGCTAATTAATGAAGAACGATCGACAAGCAGTCATCGATCGGTCAGGGATAAATAATAATCGTAAGTCTTAGGGGTAGTTGGTAGGATAAGATTAGCATTCCTTTTTGATCGGGTCTTTAAAAAGGGGTCCACGAAATAACTGTAATTGTAACTGAAGAAGTAAATTGCACAACATAAAAACGTTTGCTAGCTCTGGAGATTTCCGTCACTCCATCGAAGCAAAGTAAAAAACTAAAAACAAAATCAACAAAAAATCTACTTTAACTTCTAAAGCTTCCTTCCCTTTCCAACAATAAATTAACCCCGAAGAGCGCCTGGCGCTGCAATAAGCTTTCTCCAATTGTTAGCGACTGCCTCTACCTCCACTTATTCTTTGAGTGTGTGCTTTTTTGGGCTTAGAGTGAGGATTTTTTTTCTCCGGAGATTACTGCGCTGCGGCTGCTGGGGCTGGCGGGGCTGTGGACGCTGTCAGCGGTCCCAGGGATCCGCTGGACGATGACGTCGACGAGGAGGAGGAGGTGGAGAGCGCATTGCTGGTGGCGGGCAACGACTGATTTGAGTTTTGGCCACTTAGATCCGGCGGAGGAGGCGTCGAAGACCCTGAAACGCCAAGAGGCTGGCCAGCCAAGTTCGCTGCCGCCACGCTGGCCAGCGCCGTCGAGGGATTCTCGATCTTATGAATGATCTTCACGTGCGCCGTCATGTTGTCCTTGCGCGTAAACTCCTTGAAGCAAAAGGGACACGGGTACACCTTGACATTGCGCTTGTGCGAGGTCACATAGTGCCGGCAGAAGTTGCTGATGTGCGTGTAGACGCGGGAACAGACCTTGCAGCGGTACGTGTGCTCTCCTTCTTTGGTGCAGTAATCCCTCACAGAGCCCTCCGCTTCGCCCTCGCCCACGTTGCTGCTCAGATTCAGCTTGGTCTTCACCGACGGCGTTCCCATTCCGGCACTCAGGTTCGGCGTGCTGCCGGTCAGGCCGGCAGCCTTGAACTTGAAGCCGTCGTTGCTGTTGTAAATGTCGAGGTATTCCTGGCTGCTAAACACGGCCGGCTTAACATCGCCGTTCTGTTTGGCCAGTTTGGGCCGCTTCTGAACGCGTGGCTTGACCGACGCCATGGATGAGGATCCTGCGGGCGATACCAGTGGCGTGGAGGCGGCATTGACCTTGCCAATGGGCGTCAACTTGGGTATGCTGACCATGCTCTTCACCTGCGCCCCCCCAGCCGCCATTCCGATTATGTTAAGCTTGAGTACACCGCCCGCCGCCGCCGCTGCAGCTGTGTCCGTCCGGTGCTTCAGTTGGGCGGCAATGCGGAAGGCCTGCTGACGCGCCTGCTCGTCGAGATGGCTGCCATCCGTTTGGTCCTGCGTCGGCGAGCTGTTGTCAGTGAGCGGGTTGTACTTAAACTCCACGGGCTCGTCGTATTCGTCCAGCATGAGTTGAGGTTCCATATAAGATGTGTCCAATCCTTCGCCGTCGCTGTCGTTTCCATCTAAAAATTGTATTTAAATAAATAGGTTAAATTAGGTCCATCTAGTATTCCAATACTATGTTTATTCGCCAAAACTTTTTGTAAAAAATGTCAGCATAATTACATATATATTTTTTTAATTGATTCACAAAGGTGGATTTGAGGATGTATAAAAAAAAACATTTTTCTTTTGTTATGCTTTAAAAAAAATATATTAATTAATTTTTAAAAGTGCATTTCGTTGTTTTCCGAATTGTTTGCAAAACTTTTTAAAAACGTAGTTGTATAAATCAAACAATTATTCAACGTATTTATAGTTTATTAAAACTACTTAATTATACAAATATCAGGCGAATAAACCTAGTATGAAAGTTATGATATGGTTGTAAATATGTGTGTGCAGGATGTATGCAAGAGAAAGGCAAAACACATGACGCGAGCGAGTGAGAGAGAAAGAGTTTCAAATCGGATCGGAAAAGCTATAGGGATTTCAAGCCATTTTCAACGCGTTACGAGTTCGAAAATTGTTTCTGTTTCTTTAAGACATTTTTCAGTTGATCATTTTTCTGTTGTATGTTGGTTAATTTTTGCATGGTTTCGAGAGGAAGATGATTGGAAATGGACAACAGCATTTCATTATGGGTGATGGTCATATGAGAGACGGCGATTTCTATTTGGTTTCTGGAGTTATAATCATTCTACTCTTGACTTTTGAAGCGCGGTAAATTTTGACAATTTTGTTAACTACATGTTTCTTGATCATTCTTATCTCGTCGGCCATGAATCCCTGTGAGCTCAACCCGATTCTCAACTTCACAATAATCTCTTCGTCAGCTGGTGGATTTGCATTTCTTGGGCATCAACTGCATTAGCTGGTTGTTGGGGACACTCACCTGCCGACGGACGGATGATGCCTCGAACGTTGCGAATTCACTTAACTATTTTCGTTTAACTTCCTCACATTTTTTTTTTCACTAAACCGAGGAGGTACCGACGCGAGTTTATTGTATTCAGATTTCTACTAATTGAAATGCGTAAAATCCCTTTTAGCTTTTCCGATATTCGCAGATGAGATTGGTCGAATGTGGATATGTGACTTCAGCCTGGCTCTGTATTGGATTGAGTTGGTTTTCGATACATGTCTTTGCATGCTGGGTGCACATGAGTGTCGACTTAAGAATGAGGTTTTGATATTGGTTGATGGTGCATTTTGTCTTAGGACTAGGCAAAAATGATCTTAGGGCTAGGTAATGGTTCGCTCTATCTATGCAGAAATACTAATGAACTGGTGTATCGAGGACTCACCGGAAGTGCTGTTGTCCTCGTGCTGGCTTACAGTGCGATGATCCTTAGCGTTCTTTGATCGTTTTGGGGGTAGAGAATCGCGACTTTCCTGTGGATAAGAAGATAACAAATTGATTAGTTACCTCAAAACGGTAAGAAAGGAAATCTGTCTTTAAACTCACATTCAAATCATCCGTGTGGCCTGCATTCTGTTGGTTGTCATCGGATCCATCGTCGTTGCCCGAAAAGGAATCGTTGCCCAGTTTGCCGTTGCCCAGATCGGAGGAGTCGTTCATCAGGTTCTCGCGATCGAAATCGTCATAGTCGTTACCCGTGCCGTTCGAGCTGCCTGATAGTTTGCGGGGCCTGCCCCTCTTACGCTTGGGCATCAGGGCCGAGCTCAACAGCGAAGGCTGCACAGGCAGAGTGGGCGTGTTTCCGGCGGCGCTGGCGGCACTAGCCAGCAGTCCGCCAGCCTGCGAGCGGTTCCGTTGTGGCACCAAGTACGGTTGGATGCGCTGCAGCTGGGGTGGAGTGGGCGTGCTTTCGGAACCCGTCGCACCCGTTCCCGCTCCGGCTGCTGCCGCCGGCGAGGGTTTGTCGTCGTTGACCTCTGTGAGGCCCTTGATGCGCAGGCTCTCGGCCACGCGCAGGAATGCGGTAAGTCGCTCCTGGTCCACTGAGACCTCGCCTCTGTACATAAAGTCCAACAAAGATTTCATGTCCGAGTAGGGCACATCCTTCAGTATTACAATCGGATGCTTTTCCGGGTGATTTACGAAGAGTGCATTGAAGTAGGGACTGCAGGCGGAGAGAACCATCTGTGAATGCGTGGTAGAGATTAATTAGTTAAGTTAAAATTGACAGATTGTGACATTTCGCAGCCTTTAAAGTACTTCAAATGTTCATTGCATTTTAAATATAAGTTGTTTTTTGTTTTAATTTAACTAAGTTTTAAACATAATAACAGGATTATTTGATTTTAATTTAAATCGTCGAAACTAAAGATCACCACCCACCTTGTGTGCCTTTAAGTATTGACCCTCGACGGCCAGCGTCACATCTGTGAAGGTTTCTGCGTGGAGCAGCTGGTCAAAGACGGACAGCAGGTTGCTCTGGTGGTTGTTCCACCGTAGGCAGAAGCGTTGGGATGCCATCTTCATTGGAAGGCCGTGGTTACGTCACTAGGGGAGTGCGAGTGTGTGTGCGATCACGATTTATGTACTCATGCAAGTGGGGCTGTCTGCATGCCCTGGGTACATCTAAGGTCCTTTGATTGTCCTGGACTGGGTTTTTCCTTGAGGCCTGACAGCTGTTCAGGGCCGTTAAAACATATATTTCAGAGCGTGCTGCAATCGAAGGAAATCCAAAACTTTAATAGGGGTATAGTCTTAAGATAAATGTATCAATAGTCATTTGTTCTATTATCTATTTCACTTATTAAATGTAGTGTCGTTTGGCACATGACAAAACACATTTCAAGGAATTTCAATGTTTATAGATTATAAATGTTAAAAATGAAGGCAATTTGTTAAACTCATAATTTTTTATAAAATATCAGCTATGCCATTTCTTACAAGATCACAGGTCAACTAGCTAAGCTCTACTGTATGTTTTCCCAAAAAAAAGGGAGTCCTGCAGCTCGAAACTGCGCCGCTCCCATGCTGCCGGCGTCCAATTGATTTTAATTTAAGAGTCGACGTCGACCCCAAAGGGTCAGAGAAGAACACATTATGCAGGCCCCGTTGAGGAAAAGTAAATGAGGAAATCCAAATGGAAATTTCAAATGTGTTTCAAATGGGCAGGCAGGCAACAACAACAACAAGGCACGCACACGCACTGCAGCCATTGTCTTGTATGTGTGTAAAAGAGAAGAGAGAGTGTGACTGGAATGACAGCGGCTGTTGCTTTGTGTGTGTTTGTCCGACTTGAAAACTTGCCAAAGGGTGTGGAACTAGGAGAGCAACAAATAAACAGGCAGACTTCAATAAATCTTTACAGGCCTCTGCCAACTGGAAACTGAAACGCTCACGCTTGTATTCAGCAGGCAATCGCTGTGGCTGTGGAAAGTCATGGAACATTCGTGGCACGTTTTTTTCTTGTCCCCGTTATCTCACTTTCGGCGATCGTAATTCCAACAAAAAAAATCCTTGTCTTGAAACCACGCTTCCTCTTGCTTCCTCCACTTGCTAAATATTTGCTGCTGCCGCTCTTATCTTATCGCCACGCCAGTTTCAGTTGCTTTGTACACTTAATTGAAAATCATTCCCATTCGCCCACGGAATTCCCATTCCGTCTTCCTGGCACTGACACAAACCTAGTCTTCAATCTTAGTTTTCTTCTGTTTTTCTACGCTTCTATTTTGTTGTCTATGCTTTACACTTTTCGTTTGTTTGCAATTGTTATTGTTTTTATGCACTTGTTCAAATCAATTGAGAAACCATTCAATATAGAGAGAGGGAGAGATCAGCATACGCACACAAACACACATTACACACACTGGCGGCAATGCCAAACAGTTATTAGAAACGCAAAAGCTTTTTTCGCCTGCTCGATCGCACAAATATGTGTATTTTTCATTTATGGTTGGCTTTTAAATGGAATCGTATTGTTGCTCAGCCACTAGTTGGTTTCTTTTTTTACCGTTTTGTGTTTTTTTGAAGAGAGCGAGTGCAGGCGAGAGGACTAGTCGACACGTCCTCACTCGTGAACGATTAAAATTGGAATCGGGAAAGACTGGAAAGACTCGCGAGAGTGAGTAAGTCAGAGTCCTCGACGCAGAAAGCCGACTGCGCTGCCGACATCGCTGCTTGCTCACACATCCCCCACACACACACACACTGTCTGATAAGAGCGGAAGTTTTTAGGGGTGGGCGGTTGCCTGCGGAGAGGAGATCACTTTACAGCACACACGCTCAGTTTTACACCCCCTTTAAAATACTTGTGTGCGTAAGGGGAGAAGGAGATACTGAGCGAACGAGACAGAGTTTCAACTGATTATATCGTAAGTCCTAAACAACTATAAGCCTTTTTCTCCTCTCTTCTTCTTGCCACTCTTTTTATTAAGTCTGAACTTTTAAATATTTTTTTTTACTGTATGTGCAATATTTTGTAAGTTCTAAGTTACTTTCACAGCCATTTCGTATTATCACTTTTTTAAGAAAATAATTTTTTTTCGGAACTTAATTATCTTTTAAATCACTTTTTATAAGTTAAAATGTTATATGGTATTTTAGGGTTTTTAGGGACTTATTCAATTCTAGATATTGTAATTAAATAGTGCGTTTAGCATGAAAAATATCACAAGCACCTTTTCAGCCTTATTTTCCTTTAAAGTTGGGAGTAATTTTTCAATTATTTTCTAAAAATGTTTTTTGTTTCTCTGATAAACATTTCACATTAAAAGGGGTACTAATGCTCTGCCCGCAGTTGTAAAACAGAATTTACTATTCGCTATTTCGCCTGCTTCCTTTGCACTTTTTTTTCATTTAAATTTAACTTGTGGAAATTTTCACAACTCGGCGCGAGAGAGAGACGGAAAAAGGGGGGCGCGCGTCGGCAATTCTCGTCCGTTTTGCGTGTTTTACCGTTTTACCGTCGACACGTCCTCACTCGGGAAAGATTAATTTTCGACTCTTCTGTTAGTTTCTTCTGTTAGTTCGACGTTTTCCTAACATTGTCTGTTAAATCCGCTGAGTGAGCGGAGCGGCGATCCGATCCGTGGGCTCCAAGTGTTCCCGACGTCGACGTCGCTGCTGCCACCGCTGCTTCTCCTTCACACTTACACACTCTCTAAAAATCCTCCTCTCTCAAAAGGAACGCTCTTGCTCACTCACACTCGCACACAAACAGGCAATAGGGCTGCGGTTTGTGGAGAGTTTTCGATCGGTCCCAAAAGTCTCCAAATCAGAGAGAGAGCGCCTTTGCGGAGAGCCACTGTGTTGCTCTCTTGCTTGCGCCTTTGACTTTTCGAATGTTTAATTTCCTTTGCACGCGATGGGGGGCCGTGATGCGGGGGGGGGAGCGCGGTAGCGAAACGGGGTTAAAAAGAAAAACGCGCTGGAAAAAAGCTAGGAAACCGCCAGCAACAACAAAAACGACCTTTTGGGTGTGCAACAGTTGATGATTTGTTGTTTCCCTCGCTTTTTTTCCCGCCACCGCCATTGTTGCTGTTATTGTTGTAAGGGCAACTTTTTGGGTTGGGCCTCCATTGGAACAGTTTTGGGGTTGGGCCACAGCTTTACTGGGGTTTTCCAGGCCACTGAAATATGGGAAAAACATGTGGAAACGCGAGAAGCCAGCAACGCAGGCGTGGTGGGATATATAGTGGATACTTGAATAGATCGAATAGGAATGCGTTGGGAAATTTTATACAGGAAAACAGTAACGTTAATGATACTAGTTGTAGAATTTTTTTTATAGAATTCTTAAGTTGAGTTAAATAATAAAAAAATGTTTATTTCTTAAGAAGGCTTCTGTCTAGATTTTGGCACTTGGGCAACCTTATACCCTAGGGGCAAAAACTTAAACACAGGTATGTATTCAACATTTTGAAACAAATTTTTGACATTTTGAAGAGCCATTTCTCCCAGTGGCTAACAATAGCAATAAAACAATACATAGTTTTTAGTATTCCTCATTCCCCTTACAACGTTGGCATGTGTCACTGTGTATAGTTATTTGTGTTGGTGTGCAGGAGCGTGGTTCGTCTGATGTTTTTTTTAGGCGAGGGATTACGTAAGCGGGCTGTAAATTCTACAAGTGGAGTGTCAGTGTGGCTTAAAGCGATTGGAACTGAGATCCTAAGCAGAGAGCTTTGAGCAAAGTTCCCCCGCTATTTTTATAATTTGTTCATGTATTTTTTATCCTACACACCTTGGTGGGTATTTTGTTGTTGTCTATTATTAACTTGCTGAAGGCGTAACGGCAGCAACAACAAAAACAGTCCTCCCCTCCCCACTTGTTCCCCTTGCAACGGAAACGATCGTTTCGCCTAATAGGCTCTCACACACAAGCACAGAGCTCCCCTGCCCAGGTGAAAAAGCAACAAATGCACAGACACACACATACACACACAAACACACACAGGCTAGAAAACTACAACAACAATAAGGTAGTCACTGAATCGTAAATTCCTGTTGCTGTTTCTCTGCCAACGTCGCAGTCGACGTCACCGCCGCTGCCGCTGTTGTTGTTTGCCTTGCCCTATTGCGTGTTGTTGGTGGTGTGTTTTGTATTTTTTTCAGTCTGTTTAATTTTTTCCACTTTTGAGTGGCTTTTGTGGAGCTTTGCCGGGGATTGAAACTCTGACTCCGACTGTCGGTCTATGTATGTCTAGCTGCACGGAGAAAAATGGGACTAAAGTTCAACGTGGTTAGGATCACGCATAACATATCAAATCAATTCGTTTCAGGAGTTATTCTGAAGGAAATATATTAAATTAAGTCAAATTTTATCAATTATTTAAGTGCTTGGAATAAGTTTATGTCATATCAAATTAAAAAGATTATAAAATTATTGCGTCATTGCAATCTATAATAACATGAAAGAACTATTCTAAAATATCAAAATTTTACCAATCGAGAGGGTTCTAGCTCTTTTAAACTACATTTTGTATAATAATTAATTAAGTATATTAACTGAGCATAATGTTAAACAAAAATATATATGTATCACCAGAGTGATCCTCACAAGGCAAAATTTTTTCCTGTGTAATATTGCTGGTAGTGTAGGTAGTGGTGCTAGTTCCGTCGCCATTGTTGTTGCCGTTCTACTCAGTCGCTGGTCTTATAAAAACCGCTCTATGACATCCTCTCAGTACTTCCCAAAAAAGGGGCGGAAGCGGGGGCTGCTTGAATTTTATCAGGAAAGAGTTACAACCATAGTTCCATCCAAGCAGTATGTTAGCGAGAGCGGAGGTTGAAAGTATAATCGGTGACAGGGCTCACAAATTAAAGATGCCTCCTCTTCTTCTCCCACAGACCACGATGATGTTGAAATTTCAATTTCGGCTGAGACTGAAAACGGAATTTGTACATTTGAGAGAGGAAGACCCGTTTGAAGAGTGGTAGACAATAAGGAAGGATGGCCAATTATAATGAATGAATTTTCCCAGTGTGTGTTTTGTTTTTAATTTAAGAAGAAAATGGAATTCGTCATTCTCATTCTTTGATACGTCCTCAAACTCAATCTGTGTATTTTTAAGAACAAAATAATATCAATCCTTATCTTATGTCAAAGTATACAATTACTTTTTTTAAAGTTCCTGTAAAAATGTACGACCATTTACTTCATTTACTTCAAAGCTGAAGATCTTAACTATTGATCTTCATACTGATTCCTTTCAGAAGGGTATTGTATATCTTCTACTGATCAAGTTTATTTTTAGGCGACCCTTTTGATCTCAGTGGTTGCAAATTGTTACCCAATATCTTCAGCTTAAAGTGGGTTTCTGGCTCTAGCTGACTTGTTACTTGTTGTTGTGGTTGAAGTCTTGTCTGGCGGTGGACATACTATATACTATGTATTTGTATGACTGTGTGTGCGTGACACTTGGCACATGTGGCCCACACAATCACAATCGTCGCCCCCGCAATATATCGAAATATGTGAAAATCCAGCGAACTGAGCCACCGAGTCAACCGAAAACCACCAGAGCCTGTGATTTCTAAATGCGTGTGCGCCCCCACTCCATCTCCTCCTTCTCCCCTTCTATTGTGCGTAAGAGCGAGGGGGATATAAGAGTAAAGGGGGCTTTTGGTTTTTTTGGTTTCTCCTAGCGATATTTGTGCCGTGTAAACAGCAAAAGCCACTGGTTGGCCCAGAGAGAAAAATATATACATATATACGTTAGTTCTCCTAACGCTGTCTTGTGTAGGTAGTATCAGTGTGCGTGAGTATGTGTTGATGACTGACTAGCTGAGTAACTGCTGCTAGCTGCTAGCTGTGGCCGGATTCTGGTGTTCCACCGATGCCAACGGCGGAACAGGTATCGCAGGTTGGCACCAAACACATGTGCCGCTCGTCTGGTTTCCCTCTTGCCCCTCTTTTTTAACTCCTTCCCACTCCCCTTAACGCCTTCCTTCCGCCGATCGTCGTGTCTAAGAACAAAAACCTTCCAAGTCCCTCCTTTTACGCCGAAAAAATTGCGATTAAGTCTTCATTTGAACATTTTTATATGAAATGACATTTTTCATTTCACTTAACAAAATAATATCTAAATTGGATGTAAATCAGAAATTAACGGTATTTAGAGGCTCAATATGGAATATAAAGACTACATTGCCCTAAGTTGTTAGGGCAGTTAGTTTTACAGTTTTCCCAGTGTATAATTCTTCTAATGGGGTTCCTCTCTTCTCAGCCCTGCTCCTCTCATTTTGGCGCTTCTCCTTAGCACACAAATTGTCGCCGTTGGGAAACTCGACTCTTCGTACTTTGGTTTGGTTACATGCACAACTCTCCTGCTCCCTTGGCCCCACTCTCTTCAGTCTCTCCACTCTCAGATCTGCCAAGCAATTCTACCCACTTCGTTTTCTATCGACGACGCGGGCTGTCATAAAGTCCCGTTGTTGTTTTTGTTTCTCCGGCAGTTTCTAGCGCTTTCTGCGCCTTTGTTCGCCAAGTGTAAATTCCTTTGCACGTAGGCACCCAAAAGAAAAAGGTTGGCTTAAAGCATAACAAAAACAGAAACGGAAAAAATGAAAACGCAAACGGAAAAAAAGGTTAGCAGCGAAGCACGTAAGCCCCCCAAAGAGAAAG